GGGGCATGGGTAACAAACAAAAACAAAACCTTTTTAGGAAAGACAAATTATTATTGTAGTGTAAGTGGAATCCAGGGGTGTTGGATATGCTCTGGTGATCGATCTCATCCATGTTGTTGTCTTCTCGGGGTCCGGCGACCTCTGACAGGGTGGAAGGTCAGAGGTGTTGTGTCTCGTCTCATCTCAGCAGGTTAGCGGAGGGCTTGAAGTGCAGGGTGAGCTGTCGCGAGCTGTACCCAGACATCCCAACTCCCATCAGCCCAAGCAGCATGGCCACCCTCGGCAACATGGGGCCCTCCCGGCTCTGCAGGATGGTCTGGGCAGCTTGAGTCTGAAAGGTCAAGAGAAAAACAATTTCTCCCTTTGCTGCAGAGGTATTAATCGTTCCACTAATACCGGAGTAGTAAAGGCCCAGTGCACTTTTGTGAAGAAAATTAAAAATCCTCCCCGCGGCGGCTCTGCCATTTGGTCAAGTTTTTAGAAATTAGAGTCAGGAAGAAATAAAACCACAGTCTTCTGGGGTTTTGAGGTTAGAAGCCATCTCAGAATTTTTAGCCAATCCAAAACATGCCCTAAGCAGGAAACATCAACTAGATTCAGTCGCGGGCCGATTTCTTCTTGAGCGGATGGTCAGGGGGCCGGAACATAATTACAAATCATTTGTAGACTGCAAATTGACCGCAAGAAGCCCAAACAGATATAACATTTGACTTAAACATAATAATTTCGAACCTTGATTACAGTACATTTGTAAACAATCACATATCTGTCTCTATTATGGGTGGGAATAGTTTGGAACAGATTTCCTAAATTAAAATCACTTGGAGCTGATTTTCTGGTGTTTTTACATGGTGTCCAACAATAAATAATCAAAATGGTTTTAATTTTCTTTGCTCAGAAACCTTGGGGGGCCAAATAAAATCACCCGCGGGCCGACCAATTGGGGAGCCCTGCCCTAAAGTTGGATATACATTTTGTTATTATTTTATCTTAGCTCTATGTTGTTAGATTGTAGAAAAGAGCCTTTAAGTCAAAGATGTAAAAAAAAAAGTTTATGAGTGACTGCAAATTTATGACACCACTCAGCTTCTGTGACTGAGAATGTATATTTTAATCTAACCTGTGAGTTATCTAACCTTGCTAACTGTGCTGAGCTTCAAACACAGTTAATCAGGCTTGACACTTCCCACCTGAAAAACGCAATAGGCTTCTAAATCCTGCTACGTGGTCCTAAAATACCTTTTGGGCGATTGAGAGCATGGATCTCATGTCATTTGACTGTAGATCTCTTTAAGAGTACATTAACTTGACCCTGAAGCAGCCTGTGTCGCTGATGCAGATCCATTCAAAGGCCGCAGGGGGGACTAATCCTGCTTATCCTGCTCACCCGGAAACATACTGGACACCCGGTGGGCTCTGGACAGTGACACTGTCAGTGACACTAGTCTATACAATACAATACAGGATATGGCATTTCATTGATGACATTTCAAAACACCAAATCAAGTCAACTATCTTGTTTTCATTTATCACCTTGATTTAAAACTAGATAAATGCACAGGTAACTGACAAAATAAAGGAAACATCAACATAAAGTGTCTTAATAGGGCGTTGGGCCACCACGAGCCGCCAGAACAGCTTAAATACACCTTGGCATAGATTCTACAAGTGTCTGGAACTCTATTGGAGGGATGCGACACCATTCTTCCACAAGAAATTCCATCATTTGGTGTTTTATTGATGTTGGTGGAAAATGCTGTCTCATGCGTCGCTCCAGAATCTCCCATAAGTGGTCAATTGGGTTGAGATCTGGTGACTGAGACACACACACACACACACACCCACACACACACACACACACACACACACACACACACACCCACACACACACACACACACACACACACACACACACACACACACACACACTAAACCCCCTATGCTCCTTTGAGACCCCTCTTTATCTAAGCATCTATTACCACACTCAAGCTGCTTACGCACCTGCAAGTATCTGATGTACCCAGGGGTCAGTCGAGGGACGCGGAAAAACATCTTAGCGGTCTCTAAAGCCTTTTTCCAGTAGAAACCAGATCAACTCTACAACAACCCTGAGGAGTTTCTATCTAGCAACCTGGCTCTATGTCCATTCTCTCTCTCCTTCTCCCTCTCTGGCCCTGGTGTCCTCCACTGGGCTGAATGTGGCGGTGGCAGCTCTCTCCCGTGTCCGAACAACACACACGCCTGCTCACATACACCAACACACTCACACCTGCACTGTCAAGGGCTGTTTTGATATCTCCTGAGAGACTCATCCCTACAGGTGGTATATAAAGCCTGGGATTGGTTGTGTAAGGAGTCACATGGTTACTGTGTTGCGTGTGTGTTGTCGTGTGTCTCCCTCTCTCTCTCTGTCCCTCACTCCCTCCCTCTCTCTCCAAGAGAGATTATTAGGCCATTGGCACAGAATGAGAGAGCTGGTGTTGGGTTAACGTACCAAGAGAGATGTACCTTACTTTACTGTCCCTGGGCCACCCTCTGGGGATCAACGGGTCAGAAAACAATTCTGCAATGACGTTACTGGGAGGTAAGGGAGAGCAGGTTAACAATTAGTGGCAATTCAGATGATCCAATTGGGGCATGTTTTGTTGTTGCTGCTGTTGGGGAGATGCCACGCACGGACATGTGATCTTCACTGTACTTGAGAAAAAATCTGAAGCAAAATATATATGGCATTCCAAATTTTTGACCTGAACTAGCCTACTGTTTCAGTTAGATTTTTTCTGGGGATACAGACAACCTATGACAGTCAGTGATGCTGTCAGTGATGGTGACAGTAGTTAGCAATAAGATCCCATCCACAGGGCACCTGCTGCAATTGTTTCCCACTTTTACCCACACTATTCAGAGCAGAGGTTGTTTGCCCTCTCATTTTGACTACCAGGTGTAGATTCAGCCACGGGATGATTTTTGTCGGAGCGGATGGTCGGGGGGCCGGAACATCATTATAATAATTTGTACCCTGCAAATTGACCACAACTAAGTCCAAAAAGAGATGGTATTTGAAAATAACAATAATTTCATTTCTTGATTACATTGAGACACGATCACAGTACCAGTCAAAAGTTTGGACACACCTACTCATTCAAGGGTTTTTCTTTATTTTTACTATTTTCTACATTGTAGAATAATAGTGAAGACATCAAAACTATGAAATAACACATATGGAATCATGTAGTAACCAAAAAAGTGTTAAACAAATCAAAATATATTTTAGATTTTAGATTGTTCAAAGTAGCCACCCTTTGCCTTGATGACAGCTTTGCACACTCTTGGCATTCTCTCAACCAGCTTCATGAGGTAGTCACCAGGAATGCATTTCAATTAACAGGTGTGCCTTCTTAAAAGTTAATTTGTGGAATTTGTTTTCTTCTTAATGCGTTTGAGCCAATCAGTTGTGTTGTGACAAGGTATTCAGAAGATAGCCCTATTTGGTAAAAGACCAAGTCCATATTATGGCAAGAACAGCTCAAATAAGCAAAGAGAAATGACAGACCATCATTACTTTAAGACATGAAGGTCAGTCAATCTGGAAAATGTCAAGAACTTTTAAAGTTTCTACATGTGCAGTCGCAAAAACCATCAAGCGCTATGATGAAAATGGCTCTCATGAGGACCGCCAGAGGAATGGAACACCCAGAGATACCTCTGCTGCAGATAATAAGTTCATTAGAGTTACCAGCCTCAGAAATTGCAGCCCAAATAAATGCTTCACAAAGTTCAAGTCACAGACACATCTCAACATCAACAGAGGGAACTGTGTGAATCAGGACTTCATGGTCGAATTGCTGCAAAGAAACCACTACTGAAGGACACCAATACGAAGAAGAGACCTGCTTGGGCCAAGAAACACGAGCAATGGACATTAGACCGGTGGAAATGTGTCCTTTGGTCTGGAGTCCAAATTGGAGATCTTTGGTTCCAACCGCCGTGTCTTTGTGAGACGCGGTGTGGGTGAACGGATTATCTCCGCATGTGTAGTTCCCACCGTAAAGCATGGAGGAGGAGGTGTTATGGTGTGGGAGTGCTTTGCTGGTGACACTGTCTGTGATTTATTTAGAATTCAAGGCACACTTAACCAGCATGGCTACCACAGCATTCTGCAGCGATACGCCATCACATCTCGTTTGGGCTTAGTGGGACTATCATTTGTTTTTCAACAGAACAATGACCCAACACACCTCCAGACTGTGTAAGGGTTATTTTACCATGGAGAGTGATGGAGTGCTGCATCAGATGACCTGGCCTCCGCAATCCCCCAACCTCAACCCAATTGAGATGGTTTGGGATGAGTCGGATGGCAGAGTGAAGGAAAAGCAGCCATCAAGTGCTCAGCATATGTGGGAACTCCTTCAAGACTGTTGGAAAAGCATTCCAGGTGAAGCTGGTTGAGAGAATGCAAAGCTGTCATCAAGGCAAAGGTGGCTATTTGAAGAATCTCAAATATAAAATATATTTTGATTTGTTTAACACTTTTTGGGTTACTACATGATTCCGCCGTATGTGTTATTTCATAGTGTTGATGTCTTCACTATTATTCTACAATGTAGAAAATAGTAAAAAATAAAGAAAAACCCTGGAATGAGTAGGTGTGTCCAAACTTTTGACTGGTACAGTATATATAAATATTGTATTATTTTATTTATATCTAAACAACACAAAACTCCAAATTGATTTGGATATGATTTTCAGAACATTGCTATTTAGCTGACAACCACAGAGGGGCGCTAATTGTTGTGTGATGTGAACTTTAATTTAAAAACAATTCTACAATAATACAACTATGAAGCGGGTATGGCTGAAAATGTTGTAGTTATTTAATAAATCATGTTGTTTAAATTTAGTAATGCTTCAGTAGTTCTTATCGGGTTGTTGTTTTGCACCAATCTGAATCAGGCATTTATCTTGAGCCCCATGCCACCAAAAGCGTCATTAACGTGTGTCATACATATTCGAAGGACCCTTACGATAATTCAGAAAACTGACATTTGAATGCGCATTAACGTTGAACTTGTTTTATGCAACATTAATCACATTTTGTGCATGGAAATTAATTCTACGAAGACATAAAACGTTAATGGATATATTCTAATAAAGTGTGTCGTTGCTATGACAGGTGGAGGTTCTCTAACCGAGAAGAAAATATTGCACGTAGCTAGCTGGTAAACAACTAGCTGGCTAGCCCGCTCACTTGCAGAGGGTGAAATCGACACCATTCACGTTAGAGGGGTGGCTGACTCAGTTTCGTTTCAGATATTTATATCAGAAAAGTGGGGAATCTTCCCATTTGTCGTTGCTAATAGCTAGCTCGGTGCTCGTGCTTAGTTGGCAATCAGGAGCTAGCTAACTAAGCTTAGCTGGCAGGCAGGAGAGTAGGGCTGTGGAATGGTCCGACTTGTTAACGTTAGTTAGCCAAACACAGCAACCAAGAGGTAAATACATACTTCTAGAATTACTTGTAATTGCCAAGCAATTGCTAATTATAATATATCTCCAATGAAGTAGTTAGAGCATATTACTGCAAAGTGCAAACAGATAAAATGCAAGCCAATGCATTTAATCATAATCAAGACAATACAAGCTAGTGACTTCATGTTATTTGTATATGCATGCATTTTTACTTGATGGATAAGCCACATCATTGTGACCCTATGTGATTCTGTCATAGGAGAATGAAGCAATTGCTTTTTAGCGTCCAAAGATATCTGGGCTATTGATGAAGAATATGCATTTAGACTGAATTACTTCATAACTTCCCTTACATTTTAGTTGCCATCGTATTACAATGTCAAAGCAAATGTAATCAGTGGGTTTGAACTCTAGTGGATTACCATGAAGCCAATGCAAATGCATCCCAACATATTTTAATGGTGTAAAGTGCATGTTATACATTTGCGTTCACATATCCGGGTCTTTTCAGATCAGTGCACATAGAGGAGAGGAAGCCACTTTACACCAGAGATACACTTTTGATTTCTAACCATATCTATCCCCCTTGTCTCCTCCTGACCCTACCCCCCCCCATCCCTCCTCAGCCATGATGAAGAGAAGGGGCGAGGCGGCCTCAGAGCCGCTGAAACGGAGTAAGAAACAACGCCTTGAGGATGCCAGCTCAGACGAGGAGTCGCCGCTACTGACAACCAGTCAGGGTAATCACCATCACATTGCTTTATACATAGTTCTCACTGTGCAATGATATTCAGGATTTGGCAAAATGTCACAGGCCATGACCTGTGTTTTTGTTTGTGTGTGTGCCTCTCCTCCTCCCAGACTCTAGTCAGAGTGACTCCCACAGCGACCCGGAAGACCACAGACCAGGTTTCTCTATGCCCACTATATCCCAGAATGCATCAGCCACAGACGATGCCAAACAGAGCGACGCCAACAAGTTCCCCATGTACAACAGCGTGTCGCAGAAACTCATGGTAAGATGACACTCACATGTGTCCCATTGACTTACAAAGATAAAACTATACGAGGGATCATGGATCCCAAAATGTTCCATCCCTCTTTATCCCTCCCTCACGTTTTTTTTCTTCTGTGTTCCCTTCTTCCTCCTCCAGGCCAAAATGGGTTTCCGTGAAGGTGAAGGTCTAGGTAAGTTTGGCCAGGGGCGCAAGGAGATCATCGAGGCGTCCACTCAGAGAGGGAGGAGGGGTCTGGGACTCACACTGCAGGGCTTCCAGGGAGAGCTCAACGTGGACTGGCAAGACGAAATTGAGGTATGACACAACCACAACATCATCACAGACATACAAACATACGCAAGCAGATAGCTTTGTCACACTGTCTTCTCATCAGATTAAAATAGGCTGTTAGGATGGGATATTTCCCAATTCTATGTACAGTCCACAGGAGAAAATAATGCACTCACCAATGTAAACAACACCTTCTCTTTCTACCCCCTCCCTCATCCTCTTCCCCTCTCTCTCCCCCCTTCTTCCACCCGCTCTCTCTCCCCCCTCTATCTCTAGCCCAGTGCTGTAGAAGAGGTGAAGTGGTTCCCAGAATGCTCCACAGAGATCCCAGATGCAGATGAGTTGAGGGGGTGGATGGCTGTGGGACCGGTACACACACATGCGCGCTCGCACACAATTTTAACACACATTCTTCTCAATCTGTCATTCTCACGCACTATATGTTTTGGTCTATTTCAGAGGAAACTGAAGATTGAGGATGAGACAGACTTTTGCACAGAGGATCTTCTACACAGCCTTCTGAGGTGCAAGGTGAGCTACCTAAAGAACAACCCTCTATTCAACTGCAAGCAACACTACATCATCATCATCAGGATATTGATTCTATAATGGCATAAGTAAGTTATGGCAGTAAAAGTGTGTGTGGTCTGCAGACGGTGTTTGACGATCTGGAGGGGGAGGAGATGAGGCGAGCTCGGACGCGCTCCAACCCCTACGAGACTATTAGAGGAGCCTTCTTCCTCAACAGGTAGTCTAACTTACTGAATAACACACTGATGTTCTAGCATCACACAAACACATGCTAGCTCACATTGTGCTAATGAAGCCCCTGGGCCCCTGTGCGTACAAAATATACCCCAGTTTTCCTGCAAAAGTTGGCATTTATAAAAAACTGAACATGTCCTTTCCTCCATGCAAACTTTAGACTCCTCAAACTCAACTCTGGACCTCAAAGCCAGTTCCACTGCTTTTTTTCATTGTTCCCTCTAATCAGGGACTGATTTAGACCCAGGTCGGTGCAACTAATTATCAGGTTGAACAGAAAATCAGCAGGTTCTGGACCTCGTAGGGTAAGAGTTGAATACCCGAGCTTTAGACCATGCGTACGCACATCTTGTAGTGGTTGAAGTATTGTATTGCAAGCAGGTAAGCAGGTCTAAGTATTTTTTTGCAAATGGGGGATCTGATGACACGCTTATTCATAAAAACATAATAAAAAGATGCAGCCATTTGCCGTTAATGAGACGAGCGAAAACGAAGTGCTTTGTTTTTGGAATCTAAATAATTAGACATAGGAATCTATTTCCTATTTATTTATTTTTATAACCATTGCAGAATATATTCATCACCTTTTCTGTCCGTGATGGGTTCATCGTCCTGAAGTAGCCATACAACAAATTACCATGCGCATCTCTCTTTTAATTGGGCCTATGTAATAGATAGGCTATGTAATAGATAGGCTATGTATTTCCAGTTTTGGTATATGTGATCCCATAGGCAGCGTGGTTTATAGCCTACAGACACATTTAACAGGTGAACATCAAGACAGTTGATCTTTTACTTTGAAATATGTATACTATTATGGAGCCTACTGTAATTTCAATTTGTTGTGAGTAGCCTAGACAGTGTTTCAGAATTCACGGGCAGTCCAGCATATTTAGGTTGAGGGAGAAGTTGATGCAAAAGATTGTTGAATTAACATTTTCTGCTGACAGGTCCACAACTATTTGCCATTGTTTTCTCTTTCTGTCACAGTCCTTTGCCAGATACAGCATAAATTACTGCAAAACATGTAAACCTTCTGCCAACAAAGTAAATAGACCGGTAGCTTATGTCAAATATTTGACAGTATGGGTAGGCTACAGTATTGCTGTGCAATAGGAGCGCGACATCACTGCCTAATTTAATCTGAGCCTATAACAAGGCAGGACATAGAAACCCAATAATCTATTGATTAACTAGATATTGAGCAACCTTTGCATAGAAGTGTGGGCTGTAGCGTACTTTTAAATTGTTTCCAATATACTACATGGTCAAAAGTATGTGGACAACCCTTCACATTAGTGGATTTGGCTATTTCAGCCACACTCGTTGCTGACAGGTGTATAAAATCGAGCACACAGCCATGCAATATCCATAGACAAACATTGGCAGTAGAATGGCCTTACTGAAGAGCTCAGTGACTTTCAATGTGGCACCGTCATAGGATGCCACCTTTCCAACAACTCAATTCGTCAAATTTCTGCCCTGCTAGAGCTGCCCCGGTCAACTGTAAGTGCTGTTATTGTGAAGTGGAAACATCTAGGCGCAACAGCGGCTCAGCCGCGAAGTGGTAGGCCACACAAGCTCACAGAACGGGACCGCTGAAGCGCATAGCACGTAAAAATCGTCTGTCCTCGGTTGCAATACTCACTACCGAGTTCCAAACTGCCTCTGGAAGCAACGTCAGCGAAATAACTGTTAGTCTGGAACTTCATGAAATGGGTTTCCATGGCCGAGCACCCGCACCCAAGTCTAAAATCACCATGCGCAATGCCAAGCGTGTGGTGTAAAGCTCGCCGCCATTGTACTCTGGAGCAGTGGAAACGCGTTCTCTGGAGTGAAGAATCACGCTTCACCATCTGGCAGTCCGACTGACAAATTTAGGTTTGGGGGATGCCAGGAGAACGCTACCTGCCCCAATGCATAGTGCCAACTGTACAGTTGGGTGGAGGAGGAATAATGGTCTGGGGCTGTTTTTATGGTTTCGGGCTAGGCCCCTTAGTTCCAGTGAAGGGAAATCTTAATGCTACAGGATATAATGACATTCTAGACGATTCTGTGCATCCAACTTTGTGGCAACAGTTTGGGGAAGGCCCTTTCCTGTTTCAGCATGACAATGCCCCTGTGCACAAAGCGAGGTCCATACAGAAATGGTTTGTCGAGATCGGTGTGGAAGTACTTGACTGGCCTGCACAGAGCCCTGACCTCAACCCCATCGAACACCTTTGGGATAAATTGGAACGTCGACTGCGAGCCAGGCCTAATCGCCCAACATCAGTGCCCAACCTCACTAATGCTCTTGTGGCTGAATGGAAGCAAGTCCCTGCAGCAATGTTCCAACATCTAGTGGAAAGCCTTCCCAGAATAATGGTGGCTGTTATAGCAGCAAACGGGGGACCAACTCCATATTAATGCCCATGATTTTGGAATGAGATGTTCAATGAGCAGGTGTCCACATACCTTTGTTAATGTAGTGTACAATCAGTCTTGCAGAATGCGCAGGCAGGCACTCGCTATAGGCAGCATGCATGTTTAGTTTAAAAAAGTAATGGAAAAATATCAAAATATTCTGCCCACATGGGCCACACCTCTACAGAAATGTGATCAAATGCCTTTGCATTTTCTTTTACAAACTGCCATAGCCTAATTCAAATAGTGACAAATGATACAGCAAATAAAGGGCGTTATTGTCACCATAAAAGGTGAGTGGAGGGTGTTTTCCGGGCAGAGCTTTAATGCTGCGTACAGTGCATTCGGAAAGTATTCCGACCTCTAGAATTTTCCACATTTTGTTACGTTACAGCCTTATTCTAAAATGGATTAAATAGTTTTTTCCCCTCATCGATCTACACACAATACCCCATAATGACAAAGCAAAAACAGGTTTGTAAGACATTTTTGCAAATTTATAAAGAATAAACAGAAATATTACATTTACATAAGTATTCAGACTCTTTACTCAGTACTTTGTTGAAGCACCTTTGGCAGCGATTACAGCCTCACCTGTATTTGGGGAGTTTCTCCCATTCTTCTCTGCAGATCCTCTCAAGCTCTGTAAGGTTGGATGGGGAGCGTTGCTGCACAGCTATTTTCAGGTCTCTCCAGGGATGTTCGATCGGGTTCAAGTCCGGGCTATGGCTGGGCCACTCAAGGACATTCAGAGACTTGTCCCGAAGCCACTCCTGCGTTGTCTTGGCTGTGTGCTTAGGGTTGTTGTCCTGTTGGAAGGTGAACCTTCGCCCCAGTCTGAGGTCCTGAGCACTCTGGAGCAGGTTTTCATCAAAGATCTCTCTCTACTTGCTCCGTTAACCTTTCCCTCAACCTCCCAGTCCCTGCCGCTGACAAACATCCCCACAGCATGATGATGCCACCATCATGCTTCAACGTAGGGATGGTGCCAGGTTTCCTCCAGACGTGACGCTTGGCATTCAGGCCAAAGAGTTCAATCTTGGTTTCATCAGACCAGAGAATCTTGTTTCTCATGGTCTGAGAGTCCTTTAGGTGCCTTTTGGCAAACTCCAAGCGGGCTGTCATGTGCCTTTTACTGAGGAGTGGCTTCCGTCTGGCATACCATAAAGGCCTGATTGGTGGAGTGCTGCAGAGATGGTTGTCCTTCTGAAAGGTTCTCCCATCTCTGGAGAGGAACTCTGGAGCTCTGTCAGACCTCCCTGACCAAGGCCCTTCTCCCCCGATTGCTCAGTTTGGCCGGGCAGCCAGCTCTAGGAAGAGTCTTGGTGGTTCCAAATTTCTTCCATTTAAGAATGATGGAGGCACTGTGTTCTTGTGGACCTTCAATGCTGCAGAAATGTTTTGGTACCCTTCCCCAGATCTGTGCCTCGACATAATCCTGTCTCGGAGCTCTACGGACAATTCCTTCAACCTCATGGCTTGGTTTTTGCTCTGACAGGCACTGTCAACTGTGGGACCTTATATAGACAGGCGTGTGCGTTTCCAAATCATGTCCAATCAATGGAATTTAGCACAGGTGGACTCCAAGTTGTAGAAACATCTCAATGATGATCAATGGAAACAGGATGCACCTGAGCTCAATTTCGAGTCTCATAGCAAAGGGTCTGAATACTTATGTAAATAAGGTATTTCTGTTTATTTTAAATACATTTGCTAACATTTCTAAAAACCTGTTTTTGCTTTTTCATTATGGGGTATTGTGTGTAGATTGAGGAAAAAATATAATTTAATCCATTTTAGAATAAGGCTGTAATGTAACAAAATGTGGAAAAAGGGGAAGGGGTCTGAATACTTTCCGAATGCACTGTATGCAAGTTTATAAATCTCAATATTTTTTGACGTACGTATTCTTTTCAGAAATGGTGCACGCAGATATTTAGTGTGAAATTTACGCAACGGTTATAAATGAAGCCCCTGACTTTTTACTTACAGTAGCTGATAATAATGACTCACTTATCTGTTGTGTGTGTTTGTTTTCTCTGTAGAGCGGCTATGAAGATGGCCAACATGGACCACGTCTTTGACGGCATTTTCACCAACCCAAAGGATTCACAAGGGGTGAGTGACCCTTTCCATTCACACTTGATCTAATCAATGAAAGTGACATGTAGCAAATGCATATTTGGTAGATATTTGTGACAGGTTTCCAGCTGTTACATGATAAAGGTGTGTTTTTTTCCGTGTTTCTCCCCATGCAGAAGCCCCAGACGCGAGACCGCGAGGGGGAGCTGCTGTATTTCGGGGACGTGTGCGCGGGGCCGGGGGGCTTCTCAGAGTACATCCTGTGGAGGCGGCGTTGGCATGCCAAGGGATTCGGCATGACCCTCAAAGGACCCTGCGACTTCAAACTGGAAGACTTCTATGCTGCGCCCAGCGAACTGTTTGAACCCTACTATGGTATGTACCATGGTGTACCCCATGTGCTGAGTGTCAACAATGGTGCAGACTTCACACCAAGTTTCTATCAGAGAGGAAGAAAACATGGCTGAACAAATACAAATAAAGTCTTATGGTCAAATGTAAAAAATATGTAATTTCTCCTCTACTTCCTCCATCTCCTCTTTTCACTCTCCCTGTGGCTCAGGTGAAAACGGGGTGGACGGGGATGGTGACATCACTCGTCCGGAGAACATCAGTGCGTTCCGGAATTTTGTCATGGAGAGTACAGAGAGGAGAGGACTGCACTTCCTCATGGCTGACGGGGTGAGTTGGAGTCTTCATCGCACTGTCATCATTGGCCAAAGGCGTAGTGAGACGTGTTTGATTGGTGGGGTGGGTTGTTGAGCTCATCTCTGTTTTCTGATTGGTAGGGGTTCTCAGTGGAGGGGCAGGAGAACATCCAGGAGATTCTGAGCAAACAACTGCTGCTCTGTCAGTTCCTCACCGCAATGTCTGTACTACGGACAGGTACGTCTGTCTATCTGTCTGTTTGTCTGTCTCTTACTATCCAGAAGTGTAAGGACAGTGAGTGACTGTTGTGTTCTCTGTCTCCCCCAGGTGGTCACTTCCTGTGTAAGACCTTTGACCTGTTCACACCGTTCAGTGTGGGGCTGGTGTACCTGCTCTACCTCTGCTTCGACAGGGTGTCCCTCTTCAAACCCATTACCAGCAGGCCCGCCAACTCCGAGAGGTGTGTGTGTAAATGCTGTTATTAAGGCCAATACTATATACCTCGACCAATACCTATTAGCTATGTTCTGACATTATATCCTTGGTTTTCAGATACATAGTGTGTCGCGGTCTGAAGCCTGGTTCAGATCCGGTCAGGGAGTACATGTTCACGGTCAACCTGAAGCTCAACCACCTGAGGAACTCGGAGTCTGATGTCAACGAGGTGATGCCCATCGAACTCATCAAAGGAGACACTGAGTTCTATAACCACATGATCAACTCTAACGAGAGGTAGAAAGACACACGCACACATGACACACACATACACACAAATAAACACAGGCTTTATAATCATCCATGTCTCCCTGCAGCCACTGTGTAGTCCAGATCAAAGCCCTGGCTAAGATCCATGCCTACGTCTTAGACACGTGAGTTACCTACTCCCTCCCTTCTACTGTTCAAATCAGTGCAAATGTGTTGGAATGTAGTGTACCTGCATGTGCAAGTACAATCTGACTGTGTTGTGTATTGTCAGGACCCTGTCAGAGGCCAGGCAGGCTGATATTCGTAAGGAGTGTCTGAAGCTTTGGGGGGTGAGTAGTACTGAGGAGTTAGTGAGGGCTGGTCAGTGTGTATAGAGACGGGTATCTGAGCAGTTCAATCACCTATCTTGATAGCACTCACTAGTTATTTGTTTCTTTGTCTCTCTCTCTCTCTCTGTTTAGATCCCTGATAAGGCCAGAGTCACTCCCGTCTCCTCAGACCCCAATTCCAAATTCTATGAGCTGATGAAGGTGAGATTGTGGCCTCCCATCCCTTATCTAGATAGGGTTTTTATCACCATGTGTGTGATCATGTATTAGTAGAATTTAACGTTCTCTCTCTCTCTCTCTCTCTCTGTCTCTCTCTTTTTCTTTGTCTATGTCTCTCAGGGTTCTGACATCGAGTTGTTGAACTCCAAACCCACCCCTCTGAGCTCCACCACTCTGGATAAGGTTCACCATGTCCTGGACTACCGGTGCATTGTGGGAGGAGGGGAACAGCTCTTCCTGTTAGGTCTAGGGGTGAGAGAGAGCAGACACCACTCTGGACCTGGGCCATGATCATCTCAGCAGTAGTTCTCTTGTTATTCACAAATAGACATGTGAATCCCATTCTTCTCATGCCTCTCTCTCTACAGAAGTCTCAGATCTACATGTGGGACGGCAAGCATCCTCTGCGCTGGAGGAAGCTGGAGAACTTCAAGCTGGAGCTGCCCAGAGAGACCCTGCTCAGTGTAGAGATTGTCCAGGAGCTGAAGGGAGAGGTGAGAGAGGAGAGGAAGGGATGGTGAAGAGTGGGGGAGTTGAATAGGGTAAGGAGAAGGAAGAGAGTAAGTAATTACTATGGTTGTTTACCTTTTTCTGATTGTTTGTTGAACACAGGGTAAAGCCCAGCGCAGGATCAACGCAGTACACGTGCTAGATGCCCTGGTTCTCAACGGCACTGATGTACGGGTCCAGCACTTCAACCAACGGTGAGGCAACAACTCTAACCTTCACCCAGGGGTGAAAGTAGATTTAACGGAGTGGCTGCGGATCGGACTTTTCTGGACCCCTCTTTCCGACAGCTAAAGTCCCAAAGCTGCGCATGTGCGGGCTTCTCTACGCACAGACTCTGCTCTACTCCTAGAGAACGGACTACTCTGTCGCGTGGTGCTCATTTACTAAAGTTAGATCAGCATATATAACTTTATTGTAAAATAGAAAACACCACCTCATTTCTTATGAGATTTTAGGATGATTGTGCGACTGGTGAAATGTTTCTCATGCAGCCTAAACTCGACAGCGTGCGCCACTAGGCAAAATATGTGCTTATATTTAAACTGAACACAGGTAGGTTATGCTACAGTTTAACATCTGCTCTAAAATTCTCTCACTACATTATTCAAAACAACACTGTAGGCTACTTCGAAACAACTCTGTATAACTCAAGAAGATCTAAATGCATATCCCCATGACACTGATTGAGGTCAAATGGTTGGTATGCAGATGCTGCATGGATGTTTCACTGGTAAAACTTGAAGAATTATCTTTCACCATTGACAGTGAGAAATGTCAAGGGAGGGTGACCACACAAATGTGTGTGTAAAGTAGAGGTAAAGAAAAGTGTGTAAAACGTGATTTGGATCTTCAGCTCTGTGGAAAAGGGATCCATGGGGGTGGGACAGGGTGGTTACCTACGGATCCGCAGCCTCTGCCTAGATTTACATTTTGGATAGAAAATTCTGGGCCTAATAGTACCAGACTGTACCGGCTTACTTTCACCCCTGCCTTCACCTTATCTGGTGATCACATGTATTGTTGCTGAACTGTGGTCACTGTGTCCACAGAATCCAGATGGCAGAGAAGTTTGTGAGGGCCGTGTCCAAGCCAAGCCGACCAGACATGAACCCTATCAGGTAACAACCCTACACTCTTACTTTTTTCTGCTTGAATAAGAATAAATATAAGGGGAAGAGTCCTAATGTTTCTCTGCTTTTCTCATCAGAGTGAAGGAGGTGTACAGGCTGGAGGAGATGGAGAAGATCTTTGTCAGGTATGAGAAGGTTATTGCTATTGCCATAGTCAACATTTTAGAGAGGGAGAACTCTGCATTAGTTTAATCATGAATGTATAAGTAAATGAACGAATATTCCTGAACCTCCTAGACTGGAAATGAAGGTGACTAAGAGTTCAGGAGGAGTCCCTCGTCTGTCCTATACTGGCCGGGATGACCGCCACTTCCTCCCAAATGGCCTATACATCATCAAAACTGTCAACGGTATGTACTGTAGCTAAGGTGACATACAGTGCATTCGGAAAGTATTAAGACCCCTTTACTTTTTCCACATTTTGTTACATTACAGCCTTATTCAAAAATGGATTACACATTTTTTCCTCATCAATCTACACACAATACCCCATAATGACAAAGCAAAAACAGGTTTTTAGAAACTTTTGCTAATTTATTAAAAATTAAAAACGGAAATATCACATTTACATAAGTATTCAGACAAGTATTCAGACCCTTTACTCAGTACTTTGTTGAAGCACCTTTGGCAGCGATTACAGCCTTGAGTCTTCTTGGGTATGACACTGCAAGCTTGGCACACCTGTATTTGGGGAGTTTCTCCCATTCTTCTCTGCAGATCCTCTCAAGCTCTGTCAGGTTGGATGGGGAGCATCGCTGCACAGCTATTTTCAGGTCTCTCCAGAGATGTTAGATCGGGTTCATGTCTGGGCTCTGGCTGGGCCACTCAAGGACATTCAGAGACTTGTCCCGAAGCCACTCCTGTGTTGTCTTGGCTGTATGCTTAGGGTTGTTGTCCTGTTGGAAGGTGAACCTTCGCCCCAGTCTGAGGTTCTGAGTGTTCTGGAGCAGGTTTTCATCAAGGATCTCTCTGTATTTTGCTCCGTTCATCTTACTCTCGATCCTGACTAGTCTCCCAGTCCCCACCGCTGAAAAACATCCCCACAGCATGATGCTGCCACCAACATGCTTCAACGTAGGGATGGTGCCAGGTTTCCTCCAGACGTGACGCTTGGCATTCAGGCCAAAGATTTCAGTCTTGGGTTTCATCAGACCAGAGAATCTTGTTTATCATGGTCTGATAGTTCTTTAAGTGGCCTTTTGGCAAACTCCAAGCAGACTGTCATGTGCCTTTTACTGAGGAGTGGCTTCCGTCTGGCCACTCTACCATAAAGGCCTGATTGGTGGAGTGCTGCAGAGATGGTTGTCCTTCTGGAAGGTTCTCCCATCTCCACAGAGGAACTCTGGAGCTCTGTCAGAGTGACCATCGGGTTCTTGGTCACTTCCCTGACCAAGGCCCTTCTCCCCCGATTGCTCAGTTTGGCTGGGCGGCCAGCTCTAGGAAGAGTCTTGGTGGTTCCAAACGTCTTCCATTTAAGAATGATTGAGGCCACTGTGTTCTTGGGGACCTTCAATGCTGCAGAAATGTTTGGTACCCTTCCCCAGATCTGTGCATCGACACAATCCTGTCTCGGAGCTCTGTACGGACAATTCCTTCGACCTCATGGCTTGGTTTTTGCTCTGACATGCACTGTTAACTGTGGGACCTTATATAGACAAGTGTGTGCCTTTCCAAATCATGTCCAATCAATGGAATTTACCACAGGTGGACTCCAATCAAGTTGTAGAAACATCTCAAGGGTGATCAATGGAAACAGGATGCACCTGAGCTCAATTTCAAGTCTCATATCAAAGGGTCTGAATACTTATGTAAATAAGGTAATTCTGTTTTAAAAAATATATAAATTAGCAAAAATGTCTAAAAACCTGTTTTGGTGTTTGCATTATAATAATAATAATAATAATAATAATATGCCATTTAGCAGACGCTTTTATCCAAAGCGACTTACAGTCATGCGTGCATACATTTTTGTGTATGGGTGGTCCCGGGGATCGAACCCACTACCTTGGCGTTACAAGCGCCGTGCTCTACCAGCTGAGCTACAGGGGACCACCATTATGGGGTATTGTGTGTAGCTTGATGAGTAAAATAATGTAACGAATGCACTGTATATTATAGAAGAGCATCAATGGTAGGAGAGTGTGGATTTATGTACACTGAACAAAAATATAAACGTAACATGTAAAGTGTTGGTCCCATGTTTCATGAGCTGAAATAAAAGATCCCAGACATTTTCCATATGCACAAAAAGCTAATTTCTCTCAAATGTTGTGGCCAAATTTCTTTACATCCCTGTTAGTGAGAATTTCTCCTTTGCCAAGATAATCCATCCACCTGACAGGTGTGGCATATCAAATAGCTGATTTAAACAGCATGATCATTACACAGGTGCACCTTGTGCTGGGGACAATGGAAGGCCTCTCTAAAATGTGCAGTTTTGACACAAAACACAATGCCACAGATGTTTCAAGTTTTGAGGGAGCATGCAATTGGCATGCTTACTGCAGGAATGTCCACTAGAGCTGTTGCCAGATAATTACATGTTAATTTCTCTACCATAAGCCGACTCCAACGTCGTTTTAGAGAATTTGGCAGTCTCAAAACCGCAGACCACATGTATGGTGTCGTGTGGGCGAGTGTTTTGCTGATGTCAACTTTGTGAACAGAGTGCCCCATGGTGGCGGTGGGGTTATGGTATCGGCAGGCATAAGCTACGGACAACGAACACAATTGCATTTTATTGATGGCAATTAGAATGCACAGATATACCGTGACAAGATCCTGAGGCCCAGTTGTCGTGCCATTCATCCGCCGGCATCACCCATGTTTCAGCATGATAATGCATGGCCCAATGTCGCAAGGATCTGTAAACAATTCCTGGAAGCTGAAAATATCGGTTATTCCATGGCCTGCATACTCACCAGACATGTCACACATTGAGCACGTTTGGGATGCTCTGGGTTGACGTGTATGACAGCGTGTTCCAGTTCCCACCAATATCCAACAACTTCGCACAGCCATTGAAGAGGAGTGGGACAACATTCCACAGGCCACAATCAACAGCCTGATCAACTCTATGCGAAGGAGATGTGTCGCGCTGCACGAGGCAAATGGTGAACACTAGATACTGACTGGTTTTCTGATCCACGCCCCTACCTTTAAAAAAAAAAGTTATCTGTTACCATCAGAAGCATATCTGTATTCCCAGTCATGTGAAATCCATAGATTAGGGCCTAATTTATTTATTTCAATTGATTGATTTCCTTATATGAACTGTAACTCAGTAAAATCTTTGAAATTGTTTAATGTTGCGTTTATATATATTTTTTGTCTTCTTTTTAATACATTTAGAAACATTTATAAAAACCTGTTTTTGCTTTGTCAAAAAAATAATCTGTTTTTAGAATTGGATTGTAATTAAATGTTTGGTGCCAACATGAGCAGTTTGCCAAACTCTGTGGCTCTCTGAGGCAGCTCTCCTGTAATTATTTTACATAGACCACTCTCTCTCCTCTCTATTTCTAAAAACCTTTTTGCTTTTTCATTATGTGGCATTGTGTTTAGAGTGATGAGGGGGAAAACCTATTGAATACATTTTTGAATAACGCTGTAATGTAACTAAATGTGGAAAAAGTAAAGGGGTCTGAATAATTTCAGAATGCACTGTATATGTGTGTGAAAGAGAAAGGTGGAGCATTTCTGCTCTAGGATGCAGGACTCAGGATGTTTTCTCACAGACATTTCTCTTCCTGTGACGTGCAGACCCCTGGACGATGGCGTACAGTAAGAACTCCAAGAGGAAGTTTTTCTTCAACAAGATGACTAAACAGTCCACCTACAACCTGCCAGCCAATTCTGTGGCCCCCTTCCAGTGCGTACCGCTATGCACCGGTCTCAAATCTGTGTGGTAGACTAAAGATATGTGCGACAAGGAATTGTCTGAATGTTTCTGCATCTGAACCTAGTCTACTCTAGACAGTGGGTCTCAAACCTCTCCTCTGGGACACCCAGACATTTCACAGTTGTGTTGTAGCCCCGAACTACCTCACCTCAAGGGTTTGATGATTAGTTGACAAGTTGAATCAGGAGTGCTAGCTCTTGAATAGATCAAATACATGGAACGGCTGGGGGTCCCAAAGGAGAGGTATGAAATGGATTGAAAGGTTATTGAACTGAATCTGTTGTTTCTAATTTGTGTGTGTATGTCTCCTCAGCGTCTGCCATACGGAGCGTCTGTTCTGGGCGTGGGAGGACGGGGTCAGAGTTCACGACTCTCAGACGCGGGTTGACCCTGAGAAGCTGTCTAAGGACAATGTGCTTTCCTTCATCCACCAGCACTACCAGCCCTGAGCCACCAGGGGGAGCCCCCCCAGACACATAGAATATTGCCATAGACAGATAACAGTACCCTGCACAGGGTTTGGCAAACTGCCATTCACAAAATGTTCATGGGCGCTATTTTGGCTTTAAAAAAACATTTGAGGTTAGAATTGGATTGTAATTAAATATTTGGTGCCAACATGAAGGACAGTTTGCCAAACTCTGTGGCTCTCTGAGACAGCTCTCCCTGTAATTATTTTACATAGACCACGCTCTCTCCTCTCTACTGCCCCAAGTTCTATGTATCAGATCAGATCCACTGTACAGAATGCAGCTTAGAATTGATTTTAATACTTTATGACGAAAACAAACATTGACAAGCTGTCACATTACGTGTTGCATTGCATGCTCCTATTTTTTCTATTGATTCCATGCCCCCCGTCCCTTTGCTTGTATTCATGCCATGCCTCCATGATTTGCAGTGTGTTTGTGTACAAGATGCTGTGGTGTACTCTGATCTAGAACCTCTCTCTGAAGCTCACACACTACATATGTTTTTATCTGGAACTGAAAATCTCCCATTGTGCCTTTTTAAAGGGATACTTTGGGATTTTGGCAATGAGGCCCTGTATCTACTTCCCCAGAGTCAGATGAACTTGTGGATACCATTTTTATGTCTCTGTGTTCAGTATGAAGGAAGTTAGAGGTAGTTTCCCTTTAAGGCACTACACTATATGTCCCGGTATGCCTGACTTGCAAAACTTTGTATCAATAATCTGAGTCCAACCATCTCACCCACCCAGCTTGTTTTTACCCTCTAAGTTCTCTACAGGAGTGCCTGGCCAGTCATGCTCTCCTCCTTTAAGCAACAACCAAACCTTTGTACACATGGGGAGTGGTGTGATGTAGCATAGCTAGGACCCAGAGCAGGGTTGGGGTCAATTCAGAAAGTAAACCAAATTCCAATTCCATATTTTCCCACATCAAAAAGCGTTGCAGAGAATTGGAATGGAATTTACCCCAACCCTGGCCAGGGAAAACTCCTGGCCTTCATTAAAACACTGGGTTATATCAAATACAGCCTTTCCTTCCATTCATTCTAGCCTGTCTGTCTAGGGGCTTATTGGGGGTTTCAGGTTTTGGAACTTTTTACCTGTCGTCACCCTGTGTTTATTTTGTTGCATCCTGTTGCCTTGCTCCGCTTATCCTAGTTTTGTTTAGTTTGTGAAATGTTAAAGATGAGGTAACTTTTTTCTTTGTTATGTTTCATCCCTGTTGATGATAATGTAGTAATAAAAAGAAAAGTTTGTTCTTCCCAGAAACCTTTATTCCAGGCCCAGTTGTCCTTTGCATGCACAATCACTCTCCTGTCTTCTACCATAGCTGATGTGGTGAATGTTCTGCCACAAAATGTCTGGATGCTACATATTGGCAGTGATCGAGTTATCCTACTATGAAACATGATACATAAATATGATCCATTTATCATAGGCTTATAGAAGAGAGCTTTGCCTCTGTATGTCATTAAGTTAGTTGATTCTGATTAGCAATAGAATGGTCAACTAGAGAACACAGATATTTGAGATGCATTCTTTATTTTTTTTATGTTCAGACATAACAAAATAACAATGTTCAGACATGCCAAGCATGTAATTATCTTCATTAATTTACAATAAACATATATAAACGTATTGCCTCAGGTGAGGGATCAAAATTATGTGAAGCTGGCTGCAGGTTGGAAGGCCTTCATGCGTATCAAACATTGCTAAAAATGCAATGCCTGAACAAAAAAAGGCCATGGGGAGATTCATTTTGGCACCAAAGGCTTGAATGAATTAAGACGTGAACAAAAACACATACACCCCACCCTTATTCTAATGGTATACAGTATATGTCGCCCTGTGCCCATATTGACAAAGCATTTCCGAGTAGGAGGGCTCATACTCCGAGACGCTTTGTAAATACAGACCCTTGCAAAATGATGTCAGAGATAAAGTCAAGTCTCAGGTTTGGGTGATTTATCTACAAAGACAAAGTCTTAGTGGTCATTGACCACAATGAGAAGTAAAGCATCATTTGGGCAACAGTCTGAGAACACAATCCCAGGGTGCACTATGTAAACCCATTGAGAAGTACAGTCTTTTCATACCCTCATCATAGCACAACGCAGGAGCACAAAGTGCAAGGAAGTCAAAGGAAGAATTGTATACTCTGTCACACTTGATGAAGAGTTCATGATTTACATAAGCATTGTGCATGATTGTGCTTTCATGAGTTGTCCTTAACAGACCATCAGTAACCATTGAAGCGTAGTAAGAGTATACCACAGTCTGTATGATGGGGAAGGCAAAGCTCAGCACCCAGGAGATGATGATGTGGATGACTTGGCAACGAACATCCAATTTGTAGTGGCTCAACAAATTAGGCGATTTGAGTACCAAAGCTTGACAGAGCAGAGGTACCGGTGAGCAGAGTGCTAATTACGAGGGGGGATAAACCCCCCTGAAAGAGAGATGAGCCCCCGTAAATTAAACAAAAGTCATAACTTTAGGGGGACTGTAAATAATGCTAATTTACCAGTGGTGTAAAGTACTTAAGTAAAAATACTTTGAAGTACTACTTAAGTAGTTTTTTGGGGTATCTGTACTTTACTACTTATATTTTTGACAACTTTTACTTGTACTCCACTACATTCCTAAATAAAATAATGTACTTTTTCCTCCATACATTTCCCTGACACCAAAAAGTAATCGTTACATTTGAAATGCTCAGGCAGGACATCAATATGGTCCAATTCACACACCTATCAATATAACGCGTTGTCATCCCTGCTGCCTCTGATCTGGCGGACTCACTAAACACAAATACTGTGTTTGTAAATTATGTCTGAGTGTTGGAGTGTGCCCCTGGCTGACCGTTATTTTTTAAATGTATTTTTATCGTGCAGTCTGGAATTGTATGTGTCGAATTTACTTTTACTTTGTACTTCTACTCAAGTATGACAATTGAGTACTTTTTCCACCACTGTACTTAACTACATTTAAAACCAGATACTTTTACTCAAGTAGTATCTTACTGGGTGACTTTCACTTGAGACCCCCGAATGTCACCGTATAATTTGCACAAATGGCTGCATGAAGGCTTTTAGCTGCCAAAGCAGTCTTTGGTCCTGATGAAGATGTAACATAACACAGTCAACTGTGCTAAGATGAGTTCATTCATATTCAGTAGTGGATAAAGGCGTAGTAGAAGAGAGCACTGACAGCCAATAGAGCAACAGAGATCATCATATTCCTCCTGTTCTCTCCTCTCAACACCTCCAGCTCTTTATCTAAATGAGAGGGAACAAGGGTCAGTCCATAATGTCCCACACACACATCATTCATTCAGGATCCAGTTTCACAATAACACCTATCCTACAATTCTACTATATGAATTGTGTATCACATTTTCTATGAAACAAACGTTTTCCTTACCATACTTTTGCATCCTTTCGTTCATTATCGTCATTTCATCCTCCAGCGATTGTCTGTCGAGTAGAGGGAGATTAGGAATTGTGCTTTCATCACCGTCATCATTATCATAATCGTTGTCATCATTATCATAATCGTTGTCACCATTATCATCACCTGTCTTGATCAGAGAGCTCCTCGCGCCGCCGTCTGAACTCTGCCCTCTCGATACTGTCGTGACATCGCAACCGTCGCTCCTCAACACGATCAATCTGTGTAGGGGACATATCGATGATTAAATATCTCTGGCCATAACATTGGGTGACACCTGTGAATTGTCGCAAACATGGTTCCCTAATATGGTAGCAATATACTTCGCCTCTTCCTCTCTTGCTAAGGTGAGCTCACGCATGGTATCCAATGTCTGAATGAAGCTTGTTAGTTAACGTAGCTAGCTAACGTTAGTTATCTTGCTTGCAATTTCCAGAGCAATGTAACGTTATGCCACGTGACGTAAGAAACCATCAAATTACTAGTTACTAGTGTAACGTGTCTTACCTCGCTAGCAACGCTGACTTTCTCTCTCTTGTCCTTCGATTTTGTCATTTTGTGAGAAAAACACACCAAAGTAAACGACCTGCCGCGAGTACAACAATTCTTCTTCTTGGGGTTTCTGCGAGAGGAGGATCTAATCTCGGAAAATGCCACCCCTAGCTGTGTGGAGTATAGGGGATAGTGCACGAGGTGAATGTTACGCACATGCGATTCAAACCATTCTTTAATGTAGGCTACTATTGCACTTTTAATCTAGATTATAGAGCAGCTGTGCGTATGATGTATCAAATAGTATTGTTGCCAGTGATGCCCCTTGTGATACTGCAGTCAATTGAGCCGACACACGCAAAACGCAATCAAGCCATTCGCGCTTCAGTTGCCTCCTGAATTGTGCTGCGCGAATACACAACACTTTACGGTAACGGGTAGGGAAACTGAGTCCGACGCACTCTCATGCACAGATAGAGACGTGAGCTACAAATTGTTTCAAGCAAACAGTTTGAAGCACACTTATTAAATCTTCCACGATACCAAATCGTTTATTTCATTTTCTTGCCTTATCAAAAAGTACCTTGATTTCACGGGTAGAGTAGAGTGAGGCTGCAGTAGCCAACCGGGGGTGCTGTTTTACTTTTTTCCCTAGACTCCAATCCCATTCGATGCATTAAACGGATGTGGGTGGAGCTATGTCTACTTAAAGAGTGCTAATTTAAAAAAACTCACAAAAACTCTGACGAAGGCTTTGAAGCCGATACGTAAAGTTTATTAAAGAGCAGTGATACTAGCAAGAGCAGTGTGCGGGTTTCTTTTTCTCTCTCACCTTATTCAACTGTTACCATGCACCTGCAAAAAAGATAGCTCAGATATGCGAGTGCTTTTTGAATTTGATTTTATATATTTTTTAATAACTACATTTACTTGGTCTCTCCTCACATTCCTTATCTTTCTTTTTTATTAAAAGTAATTATATTACAGTAAACTTTGATGAACCTTATGTCCAAAAAAACATATTTTGAAATGTGTGCCACTATTAGATCAATAATCCATTGTCATTAAAACTGCAAAGCATAACATGCCCATATTATGCCAGCTACAATACACATTAAACTACAGTGTTTTTTCAATCTTGTAGCTGCCATAATATGGGCATGTTATGCTTTTCAATGTTAATAACAATGGATTATTGATCTACTAGTGGCACACGTCACAAAGTGTTTACCATCCATTTTTGCTGCGTTAAAATTGAATTATAATACCTCAAAGTTCACTATAATAGGCCAAAACAAGAATGTATCTACTAGTGGCACAAGTCACAAAACATCTTTAAAATGGCATAATATGGGCATTTTCTGGTATGCAATAGTCATCACACTGGATTAATGATCTACTAGTGGCACACAAAAATAAAGTCTACCAGCCATTTTTTGTGATTTTGTTGTTTTTACATAGGGGTCATCAAAGTTCACTGTAATATAACTATTTTGTAGCTATCGTCTCTATCTGTGCATGCGAGTGCATCCAACTCAGTCCCCCTACCAAAAACACGGGATATCGTAAAGTATGGTGTATTTGCGCACCAAATTCAGGCGTAAACTGAAGTGTGGTGGCTTGACTGCGTTTTGCGAGTGTCGGCTCACTTGACCGCAGTCCTTGAGATGCAGGATGAAAGACTCAACTGTGCCAGCAGGATTTAGGATTTAGGATTATCATTAATCCACACATTCAGACTTTGACATGCGAGAGAAAAATTATGAAACCCAAGGGATATATCCTACCCACCAAATGTTCACATTAAAATACTGTTGCTGATATTTCTCTCCAGCCTGTCAAAAGCCCATGGCACCAATCGGAACGCACGTCTCTCAGGACAAGGGGACGCCAACTAAGTACGCGCGGATGGAGAGCTGCTTGGAGAGTGTTGGCGGTGCATAATCGCATTATCTGATCTGCGAAAACGCAGGCTGACAGCCCAGTCTCATAAAGATATTCTTTATTAGTAGTTTTTTTAAATTGTTTTCTCCCATTCATTAAAATGCCACTCTTCATAAACCGAGACCAGATATTTGCGCACCAAGTGCACCTTCTGGAGCACAAACTGCGGGTATGTCTATTTTTTCATTTAGCGTAAATTCAACAGGTATGACAGGTGAAGCTAAAACGACTGTCAGTTATTTTGTGAGAACAATTGTTAATCGTTTAGTTAGTAAGCTATAATAACTATTCGATTAATTACAAGGCCTATTTTATTTATTATCTTTAGTAAAGGAATTTAAATGGAATCAGATAAACCTCACTGACTTTACAACGTCAATAAACTAGCAGCGTTGGCTAATCTGTCCCGAACGTTTCCAGAGCAAAGAAGAACGCATTCTGGAGTTGGAGACTGAAAATGCCATTCTTCACCTGAGGCTCGCCGATGTGAGTTGAGTCATTGGAGAATACATTTTAATTGACTGTGATATTTTAACACCCCAGTCAGTGCCCATTGTGTAGGTAGCCAAGCAAAGGTCGTGGTACCCAATTTAAGCACATCATTGGGTGCCACAGATGGATAAGTTTACTGTCTGCAGAATTTAATTAGAGTTTAAGAACTGTGTAAAAAGCAATATATAAACATGTTATTTTTGCTTGTTTAACACGTTTCCTGTCAATGTTCACTTCATGGATAGCTCCGAAATGGGCCCAGTATGGAGGCATAAAATGAACACTAGCCACCAACCAAATGCTGGTAAAAAGTCTGAGTGGCTGGTTAATTTTTTTATTTACTACGTCCTTCCTGGACCAAAAAGTGGGTTTCGGATGTCAAACTGGTGACTTGTCACTGTATGTCTTGGTAATGATGGTTTCTTACCCTCTTCTCCCTCTCCAGTGTCTGGGGAAACTTCGTCGGGATCATGCGGAAGAGGCAGAAGCAGAAGCCCAGAAGCGTTGGCAGCACCAGAGAGTTGTGCAGCAAAGCACCCAGTCTGCCCTGGCCAAACTTCTGTCTGAAGTACAGGTACATACAACGCCAGAGTTGCACAGCAGTATTGTTTGGTTTGGTTTAGTTCAGAGGAGGAAGGCCAACATGGTGTCCATTGGGGTTGCCATGGGCAGGGTTGCCATGGGCGCCAAGAGAGACGTCATCACTACCAGCACAGGCACCAGCGAGGTGCCCTCACTCTCCTACGTGTGAGTGGTCCTTTACTGTTTGTGTGTGTGTGTGTGTGTGTGTGTGTGTGTGTGAGTGAGTGATGGCCTGAACACACACGAACACACAAACACACATTCATGGTATTATTTGTGTGTTATTCTAGATTTTGAAGCAGGACCTGAGAGAGGTGTTTGCGGTGTATGTGAACTTCGCCACTGAGCTGGAGAACCAGAGCAGGCTGCTGCTGGAGCAAGTCGGCCAAGCCAGCTCCGCCCTCCAGGGCCACCATGGCAATGACGTGCACAGTGAGTAGACTATCTGTGGTCGGATTTATGACATCACTCAATCGATGTGTGTCACTCTTATCCCCTTGTACTTCTGCTTCTCTGTCTGTTTCTCATTCTCTCACTCCCTTTGTCTTGCCTCTTTTTCTCTCTCTTTTTCTCTCTCTCTCTTTCTCCCATTCTCAAGTATCTTATTTACCGTGCCCCTAGGCCGTAGTTAAGAGGTTGGTTACCTTGGGGATAATCCTCTCTCCCCCTCTAACCCCTCCCTCACCCAGCCCTCCAATACGACTCTGTCAGCGAGGTTCGGCAAGGTTGTGTGGCCTGTCCTCTTCTGCGTCACCTGGTTGCCATGGTGACAAGCTCTCTGTTGGGCTTGAGGAACTTATCCCACGTGACTTGGTTAAACCTGGCTGTCTGTTGGGCCTGTGGGAAAAGCCCCTAGCCTATATATACCTGACCCTATTGGCTTTGTTTACCACAGGACCAGGGTCAGTTTTGTTGTTTGGCTTGAAATAGTTTATGTAGGTGTAAGGTAGTAGCGCTGATCCCAAATCAGTCAGCTTTTAGGCACAAATATTGTATTTATGAACCAGTATCATTTATTACAATTTATTAAGCATTATTCATGTAATTTTTAGATAATGGATTCATATTTTGCTGTTGCGAATTCTCTGTTAAAAAAATTAATATCCTGGGTTGGACCATGCACTTGCATCTCGAGCTACCCTTCATTCAGGAAGGATGTCAGATGGGCTACCCAGCCTCCTATCAAAACAATGACTTTGATTAATCCATCAACTGTCCCTGTAAGTCCGGCACAATGAGAACACAAATAACCCCTAAGGCTTAGCTCACGAACAGTACATGTCAAATACAATAACCATCAGCAGCAGGAGAGGATCTCTTTCCTTAGCTCTTACTCTGCTTGTTGTAGCTGTAGTTTGCATTCCCTAAGAGGAGGTTAGTTACATGTCATAGTAAAGAATAGTGAGGAGGTCTGGCTCTTGAGACTAGAGTTCACCATTCGCTTGTTTGATGTCAGGTTGTCTGTCATGTCGTCCAGAGGATTCCAGGAGTTCTTGTATCCCTTTGATTGCTTAATTGCATGGCGTGTGAGTGTATGAGTGGGTGTGTCCATGTGTCCACTGAGATTAAGGACTTGGGTCAAAAGGTCTTACCTGGACTAGGCCCAATTATTTGTGTTTCTCATGGTATGACATTGCATTTGGTATTTGTATTTATTATGGATCCCCATTAGCTGCTGCCAAGGCAGCAGCTACTCTTCTGGGGTCATGCAACATTAAGGCAGTTATATACAATTTAAAATATTACATGACATTATATTTCATAACACTTTACCCAATATATTTAGTGTGTTCCCTCAGGCCACTACTCCACGATCACATATTTACAATACAACATCCATGTGTACGTGTGTGTAGAGTGAGTGTCTATATGTATGTGTGTATGTGCCTGTGTGTGTGTCTCTTCATAGTCCCCGCTGTTCCACAAGGTGTATTCTTACCTGTTAAAAAAACAATCTGATTCTACTGCTTGCATCAGTTACCTGATGTGGAATAGAGTTCCATGTAGTCATGGCTCTATGTAGTACTGTGCGCCTCCCATAGTCCGTTCTGGCCTTGAAGAGACCTCTGGTGGCATGTCTTGTGGTCCTCTGTAGCTCAATTGGTAGAGCATGGCGCTTGTAACGCCAGGGTGGTGGGTTCGATCCCCGGGGACCACCCATACGTAAAAATGTATGCGCACATGACTGTAAGTCGCTTTGGATAAAAGCGTCTGCTAAATGGCATATTATATTATTATTATTTGTGGGGTATGCATGGGTGTCCGAGCTGTGTGGCCAGTATTCCAAACACACAGCTCGGTACATTCAGCTCGTCGACACCTCTCACAAAAACAAGCAGTGGTGAAGTCAATCTCTCTTCCACTCTGAGCCAGGAGAGACTGACATGCATGTCATCAATGTTAGCTCTCCATGTACTTTTAAGGGCCAGCCGTGCTGCCCTGTTCTGAGACAGATGCAATTTTCCCAAGTCCCTCTTTGTGGCACCTGACCACACTACTGAACAAAAGTAGGGCCTGTAGTACCTGCCTTATTGATAGTGTTGTTAAGAAGGCAGAGCAGCGCTTAATTATGGACATACTTCTCCTTATCTTAGCTACTGTTGTATCAATATGCTTTGACCATGACAGTCTACAATCCAGGCATTGAGTGGCTTAGCCTGGCACATGGATGATGTTACGGTCACGGCTTGTGCAACACCATTGAAGCAACAACAAAAAAAGACCTCATCATTTGCCCTTCGGTTATTATATATGATAGTGCTGTTATTATCTTGTTCTCTATCTGTGTATCTGTCCTCAGGTTTGCAGGCTCAGATGGAGGCTCTAGAGCGCTCTCTACAGGAGGAGAAGGAGCGGAGCAGGACTGAGAGGGAGAGGAGGAAGATACTTCACAACACCTTGGTGGTGAGGATCTTGACTATATTTTAATAGTCTACAGTGACTTCCTCCCTTTTCTGTCTCTGTCTCTCTGTTTCTCTCTCTTTCTCTCACTCTCTTTCTTTCTCTCTCATTGTTGCTCTTCAGGAGCTACGGGGGAACATCAGGGTCCACTGCAGAGTGCGTCCGGTCCTTCCCTTTGATGATGGCCAGGGATCAACATTAGCAATAGGGTTAATACCCATAAAGTACTGTATATTTTAAAGGGATACTTTGGAATTTTGGCAATGATGCCCTTTATCTACTTCCCCACAGTCAGATGAACTAGTAGATACCATTTTTATGTCTCTGTGTCCAGTATGAAGGAAGTTAGAGGTAGTTTCTCGAGCCAATGCTAACTAGCGTTAGTGCAATGACTGGAAGTCAATGGATATGTACTAGCATGCTACCTTCATACTGGACACAGAGACATAAAAATTGTATCTACTAGTTCATCTGACTCTGGGGAAGTAGATAAAGGGCATCATTGCCAAAATCCTGAAGTATCCCTTTAATTAGTGCATTTAACATCCTCTTAGTAACAGCAATTTAGAACTGTACAGTTTTATAATAGTCATGATTGTTTTCTGTTCAGGCCTGCTACAACAGAAGAGGTGGTTCAGGCAGTTAATGATGTGAGTACATGCAGTTTCATCTAGTTAAAGGTCTGATTTATTGTTAGGTCTGTGATTGGGTTGAATGAGTCATTCTGAAATCGCCTGCCTGCCTCACCTATTTCATTTATTTTGTTTTGCCTGTTTTTCAGGATACAGTTGTTGTGAATTGTACTAGAATGGGGAACCCGGGGTTGAACAAGATGTTTGAGTTTGAGAGGTATTATAACATGTTATAACATGATAATAACTGTCCCTTGATTATTGTTGCTATTCTATATTTACATTCTGTCAGCAGTTGTATTGTAGTATGTGTCACAGCTTCAGATGTATGAAGCTTATCAAGCATGTGTTTCCATGGTGTTGTGATTGACAGGGTGCATTGTCCTGAGGACTCCCAGGATGCTGTGTTTGAGGAAGTGAAGCCTCTCCTCACCTCTCTGCTGGACGGGTGAGTTAATATGACCCTGTGCTGCTGAGGGGAAACACTGGTCGCTAATTTAATTGTATTGCCTCCCTCACAGCATCTCAGAACTCTAAAATATATTTTAAAAGCCTACACCGTGTACCTCCTATATACAGTAGAGATGATTGCCTCAGAGAATTAGTGTTGTGATAGAACGCTCCATTGATCAGGACCAGAGGCAAAGCAGACAATGTGAAACGTTATTAAATGGAGCGAAGCAGAATGAGGAAATAAATCCAGTGAGACGACGTCTGAATAACAAACAGCTGAGTTAATAGAAACAGCAAGTGTTTATTTCACAGACTGATTCTCCTATTGTTCGGTCAGGTATAACGTGTGCATCATGGCGTATGGACAGACAGGTAGTGGGAAGACACACACCATGATCGGCTCCCAGGCTGAGGACCACTCAGGACCACAGGGGGAGGCCCGGCAAGGCGTTATTCCCAAAGCAGCCACTGAACTCTTCAGGTGAGAGAGAGAGAGAGAGAGAATAAAAAGTGTGGTGTTTATACTGGCGTTAGGGTGATGAGAGAAGGAGCTATACTTGTGTATTTTTGTATGTGTGTGTGCTATCTGACAGGCTGATATCGGAGAAGCCTGCTGAGACTCACACAGTGGAGGTGTCTGTGGTGGAGGTGTACAACAACGAGGTGTTGGACCTGCTGGCTAAAGACGAGGACGGGGTTGCCATGGGCGCCAAGAGAGATGTCATCACTACCAGCACAGGGACCAGCGAGGTGCCCTCACTCTCCTACGTGTGAGTGGTCCTTTACTGTTTGTGTGTGTGTGTGTGAGTGATTAATTGAGTGAGTAATTATGTACAGAGCCATATCTATGGGATTGGTAATAGAATAGTGACAGTTTGTGTGTGTGTGTGAGATTTATGTGAGTTGAAGTATTGCTGACTGACTGTGTTCTCCTTCCAGGTTGGTGAGAAGCTCAGCAGATGTGATGCAGCTGATCAGCTCTGTTCTGAGGCTGAGGGCTCGCTGCCCTACACTGGTCCACAGAGACTCCTCACGCTCTCATCTCATAGTCACCCTCACTGTCTCCTCCAAGAGCCCCAACGCACTGGCTCTGGGTGAGACACACAAACATATCTGATTATCAAATTGTATTTGTCACATACACGTGTTTAGCAGATGTTATAGCGGGTGTAGCGAAATGCATGTGCTTCTAGCAGTGCAGTAATATCTAACAAGTAATATCTAACAATTTCACAACATATACCCAATACACACAAAACTAGTAAGGAATGGGATTTAAGAATATATACATATATATATGGACAAGCAATTGCAGGTAGCGAGTGTAACACAATGTCTTAGTGCTATTGATTGATTGATTTCTTGCCATGATATCTTGCCGCTATATTCCTTTATTGACTGTGTTTGTGGTGCTGTGCTGTCTAGCTCGTAGGTTGCAAAGCGTCAAGAAAGACATGCAGCGCAAGGCCCAGAAGGAGTGGTGGAGCCCCCGCTGTCGCCGTGCCAACCCAATGGCCCGCCAATCGGGGGACGAGCGTTCCACTAGCTCCTCCTCCTCGCCCTACCACTCCCCCAGCCACTCTCCCATTCACTCCTCTTGCCCCTCCCCCAGAGCCAGCACCGCCCAGGCTCCCTTCAGGACCAAACTACAGCTGGTGGACCTTGCAGGTAGCGAGTGTGTGGGTGAGTCGTGAAAACAATGCCAAACTCATCCACCATGGTCTGTGATTGTTGTGTAGCAACAGTGTTCTGTCCGGTGGTGTAGGGGGGATGACTATGTGCATGCTGTGTGTGTAACTGTTTGGACGTGTGTTTGTGTAACTGTAGGTATGTCAGGGGTGACAGGCGCTGCCTTGTGGGAGACGTCGTGTATAAACCGCAGTCTGTCTGCTCTGTCTGACGTACTGGGAGCTCTGGCAGAGCAACGGCCACATGTGCCCTACAGAAACAGCAAGCTCACACACCTACTGCAGGACGCCATCGGTAACACATACACACACACAGACAGTTTGTTCTTTTCCTTGACTGCAGTTGATAATGACTAACCATTCTCCTCTCCCCTCTCTTCTCTATCCTCTTCTCCTTCTCCAATAGGTGGGGATGCGAAGCTGCTGGTGATGCTGTGTGTCTCTCCCACCCAGAGGTATATGACTGAGTCTCTACAGTCTCTGGGCTTCGGCACGCGGGCTCGCCAGGTCCAAAAAGATACCCCTCGCAGGAAGAACATTGCCCTCAAACTGAAGTAATGAAAGGAGAGCAGAGCAGAGGAGTATAGAAGAGAAAGGGGAGAGAGGGGAGAGAGGGGAGAAAGGGGAGAGAGGGGAGAAAGGTCCAAGGCTGTGATGGGATGGTCAAGGGTAGAACAGAGGTTCCCCTCAAGTAGGGTTGCAAAATTCCTGGAACTTTCAGGTTTTCCAGAAATCCTGGTTGGAGGTTTCTGCTTATTCCCTCCTGGTTCTGGGAATCCTCCAACCGGGATTTCAATTTATTGAAAGTTACAGGAATTTTGCAACCCTAACATCAAGTGAAGGCTGAAAATAGTTACATGTGGGCTCTGTGGCGTAAATGTTATATTTATGTAAATATTATTTAGTAACTTATCTTGTTGCTTTACTTATACATGTACAATTGTATGTTTATCTAGCTATTTGAACACCAAATTGGGTTGGTTTTAAAATATTTAGTTTGACAGATTATGAATAATTTAAATCTATCTCCCCTCTTTATGTCCTCCCAAATAGTATACAATATGTACTTGACCAACTATTTTATATTGTAGAATTGATTCTTAGATGCAGTATTTCCCTTGGTTTTTAAATAGATGGAGAAATAATTTAGGCTAGTTTCAAATTTTTATTTTTTTGTGTGCACAATCTTAGACTGAAGAATGGTAAATCACAGGCTTTAAGGCTTATACTGAACAAAAATATAAAATGCAACATTTGGGTCCCATGTTTCATCAGCTGAAATAAAATATCCCAGAAATGTTCCATATGCACAAAAAAACTTATTTCTATCAAATTGTGTGCACAAATTGATTTACATTCCTGTTAGTGAACATTTCTCCTTTGCCAAGATAATCCATCCACCTGACAGGTGTGGCATATCAAGAAGCTGATTAAAAAGCATGAACATTACACAGGTGCACCTTGTGCTGGGGACAATAAAAGGCCACGCTAAAATGTGCAGTTTTGTCACACAACACAATGCCACAAATGTCTCAAGTTTTGAGGGAGCGTGCAATTGGCATGTCCACCAGAGCTGTTGCCAGAGAATTGAATGTTAATTTCTCTACAATAAGCCGCCTCCAACGTCGTTTAAGAGAATTTGGCAGTACGTCCAGCCGGCCCCACAACCACAGACCTTGTGTAACCACGCCAGTCCAGGAACTCCACATCCAACTTCTTCACCTGCAGGATCTTCTGAGACCAGCCACCCGGACAACTGATGAAACCGAGGACTTTTTCTGTCTGTAATAAACCCCTTTTGTGGGGAAAAACTCATTCTGATTGGCTGGGCCTGGCTCCCCAGTTGGTGGGCCTGGCTCCCAAGTGGGTGGGCCTATGCCCTCCCAAGCCCACCCATGGCTGTGCCCCTGCCCAGTGATGTGAAATCCATAGATTAGGGCCTAACTAATTTATTTCAATTAACTGATTTCCTTATATGAACTCTAACTCAGTAAAATCGTTGAAATTGTTGAATGTTGCGTTTACATTTTTGTTCAGTATATATTTGTTAAATAAATGTGTGGGCTTGCTTTTAATGCCTTTCTTATAAACCATGCACTTATTTTAGTGTTTGGAAGCCTCGATATTTGTTACATGTATTTTTGTTACATTAAAAACTTGAATAAACACATTTAGTCCTTTACTGTATTTTATTGCTTACAAAACTCTGGGGAGCCAATCAGGATTCACGTATTTCTGTCGTAGCTACGTAAATATCATGTGACCAAATAGATTTTATAACAACAAACGCGCCACTCCCCCAATGACCTCGCCCTCCCTGTTATGAAACATAACTTTTGACCACTTTGTCATTTCTATCCAGAAAAAACGTTAAATACATAGTTAGCACGTTGACACACCAGTGGTTTCGAAGAAGGTAAGCAGTGTCGTTTAAGACTCTTTAGCTAGCTAGCTACCTGGTTGTGGGGAGAGGCAATTTGATGTGGTGAACATTGACTTCGGTATCTAGGAACAGGGGTGTGAATTATTGATTGTAAACGATAGTTGTTTTGTCGTATGATCAGCGAAGCTGTATTTTATCATAGTTGTACCTTTTTCTTTAGCTGTGAATATCAAGTATTGAATGAGAAGGACTTTAGGACTGATCAGAAACCTCCCACAATGCTGAAAACAATTGGACAAGCTCTGTTTTCGACTGGTTTGCAGAATCCAAAGTTTACACCTAACGAGGAGAATAAGGTTGGTGGTTCTTGGTACCCATTCAGCTTTGATATTGACAAACCTTTTCTTGTTGAACAAGTGCAATGTTACAACAAGCACACCTAGTACTTTTTATCCTCCAATTGTGTCCGTGGTGGGGTTTCAGGCTCCAGACTATGAGGTCCGTACCTATCAGACTACCAACTGGATAAGCACTACTCTGACTGGTATGGAGCAGGAGGCTGCGATGAACACTGGGTTCCGACGCCTGTTCAACTATATCCAGGGCAACAACCACAACAGTGAGTCACACTTTATTTATTTTATTTTAATTTTTGTCATTTAGCAGACGCTCTTATTCAGAGCGACTTACAGGAGCAATTAGGGTTAAGTGCCTTGCTCAAGTGCACATCAACAGATATTTCACCTAGTCGGCTCGGGGATTAGAACCAGCGACCTTTCAGTTACTGGCACAACGCTCTTAACCACTAAGCTACTTGCCGCCACAGTTCCAGTCATTAGGTGTTAGGCTACTTCAACTGTAGCTCAGTTGGTAGAGCATGATGATGTGCAACGCCAGGATAGTGAATTCGATTTCCAGGACAAAGCATGACTACATCCCTTTGGATAAATATACACTGAGTGTACAAAACATTAGGAACACCTTCCTAATATTGTGTTGCACCCCCTTTTGCCCTCAGAACAGCTTCAATTTGTTGGGGCATGGACTCTACAAGGTTTCAAAAGCATTCCACAGGGATACTGGCCCATTTTCATTCCAATGCTTCCAACAGTTGTGTCAAGTTGGCTGGATGTCCTTTGGGCTGTGGACCATTCTTGATACACACAGGAAACTTGAGTGTGAAAAACCCAGCAGCGTTGCACAAACCGGTGCGCCTGGCTAGGGCTGTGGTAGTCATGAAATTTTGTCAGCCGGTTATTGTTATGCAAAAGCCTGCTGGTCTCACGGTAATTAACCGTTAATTAACAAACACATTTAGCATTTCCAGGCCTCCACACATACAAGCCGCTGATGTGCTCCTTTCGGAACATCTACATAAAAAAAAGTCTAATAAATTAATGTAAAATACACCTTCACAATAAATCCATTATTTATTTTAGTCAGGTCTAAAGAAACATGATACGAAAAATGTATTTTAAGAAGAACAGAATATGAGTTGGCCTACTGTATCTTATCTGGCTATGCTCCATGCCATAGGCTGTAGGCTAGTTTATTTAGCTGACAAGATATGCTTATAAGTCCCGTGCCATTATTTCATTTTATATGATGAATGGATATGTTTCCCATCACGGAGCGAGTGCGCATATGACATGGCTATATTGAGTGTAAAAGTGATCACTTGAAACAGGTCCTATATGCTAGATTTAGAGTTATTTGGCCACTTTACTTGTGAATGATACAATCTTTAGAATGTCTTAGAAATCAAAACATACAGTGCATTCGGAAAGTATTCGGACTCCTTTACTTTTTCCACATTTTGTTACTTTACAGCCTTATTCTAAAATGGATTAAATCGTTTTTTCCCCCCTCATCAATCTACATACAAACTGAAATATCACATTTACATAAATATTCAGACCCTTTACTCAGTACTTTGTTGAAGCACCTTTGGCAGTGATTACTGCCTCGAGTGTTCTTGGGTATGACGCTACAAGCATTCTTCTCTGCAGATCCTCTCAAGCTCTGTCAGGTGGGATGGGGAGTGTCGCTGCACAGCTATTTTCAGGTCTCTCTAGAGATGTTTGATCAGGTTCAAGTCCGGGCTCTGGCTGGGCCACTAAATGACATTCAGAGACTTGTCCCAAAGCCTCTCCTGCATTGTCTTGGCTGTGTGCTTAGGGTTGTTGTCCTGTTGGAAGGTGAACCTTCGCCCCAGATCCTGAGCGTTCTGGAGCAGGTTTTCATCAAGGATCTCTCTGTATTTTGCTCCATTCATCTTTCCCTTGATCCTGACTAGGCTCCCAGTCCCTACTACTGAAAAACATCCCCACAGCATGATGCTGCCACCACCATGCTTCACCGTAAGGATGGTGACAGGTTTCCTCCAGATGTGACGCTTGGCATTCAGGCCAAAGAGTTAAATCTTGGTTTCATCAGACCAAAGAATCTTGTTTCTCATGGTCTGAGAGTCTTTAGGTGCCTTTTGGCAACTCCAAGTGGAATGTCATGTGCCTTACTGAGGAGTGGCTTCTGTCTGGCTTCTGTCTGGCCACTCTACCATAAAGGCCTGATTGTTGGAGTGCTGCAGAGATGGTTGTCCTTCTGGAAGGTTCTCACATCTCCACAGAGGAGCTCTGTCAGTGACCATCGGGTTCTTGGTCACCTCCCTGACCAAGGCCCTTCTCCCCCGATCGCTCAGTTTGGCCGGGCGGCCAGCTTTAGGAAGAGTCTTGGTGGTTCCCAACTTCTTCCATTTGAGAATGATGGAGGTGACTGTGTTCTTGGGGACCTTCAATGCTGCAGACATTTTTTGGTACCCTTCCCCAAATCTGTGCCTCTACACAATCCTGTTTCAGAGCTCTACGGACAATTCCCTCGAGCTCATGGCTTGGTTTTTGCTCTGACATGCACTGTCAACTGTGGGACCTTATATAGACAGGTGTGTGCCTTTCCAAATCATGTCCAATCAATTTAATTTACCACAGGTGGACTCCAATCAAGTTGTAGAAACATCTCAAGGATGATCAATGGAAACAGGATGCACCTGAGCTCAATTTCGATTCTCATAGCAAAGGGTCTGAATACTTATGTAAATAAGATATTTCTGTTTTTATTTTTTATAAATTAGCAAACATTTCTAAACCTGTTTTCACTTTGTCATTATGGGGTATTGTGTGTAGATTTATGTGGATTGTTAAACATTTAATCCATTTTAGAATAAGGCTCTAACGTAACAATGTGGAAAAAGTCAAGGGGTCTGAATACTTTCTGAATGCACTGTATATGGGCTGCATGGTGCGACAATCAGCTATTGATGATTTGAGATAGAAGCAAAAAAGCTTGCGCTCTGTTCCTTGCCTCAGGTTGCTCAGCTGTTCTCTCAAGTCATTTTCACCCATGACTATTCTCAATTTAATCTTGTCTTTACTAATATGTCAAATTAGTTTTGATTTAGAATGGGCCATTATCGAATGGGCAGGAACAGGGGCAGGGGGAAAAATGTATTCTGTATGGACTGAAATAGGGAATAGAGGCCTCAAGCTTTCCCGCCGTTCCGTTTTGTAGGCTACTTCGGTTTTATAGCGGAGCATGTGCTTAATATGAGCAGCTGAGAAATTAATACAAGAACACTTAATTCACTCCACGCATTACCATTGTTTGAGGAGCATGCTCTCGCTGCCCGACAGGTGATATTCCATCCAAACTGTATGCCGTGGGCTCTCCAACCTTGTTCCTGCAACTACCCTAGTGCTTAATTTGGGAAACCAAGTGAAATCTGTTCGGGAACATCGATAGTAACATGTTTTCGCAACTAAACATATTTCACTAAACTGTTGACAGCCCATCTGCGCGCTCGAGAATGGAATAAAGGAGAAAGAGGAGGAGATAGAAATGCATGGTGGTGAGAGATTCTGTAGCTAAAGGTAATGTCAATTAACCAACAGCATCGCCTATGACTATATGTTCTCTCCCAGACTCATGGATATACATTTTGGAGTGTAGCATAAGGTAACCAGTCCATCCAGTATGCATAATAATACAGTTCACACTCAAAGGCTAGACTAATGATGTATCAAAGACATCATAAATCAGTTTTGTTGTTTTTTCTGCAATGCGTAATATGCAGTAGGCTATGTATTGTATAATGGCACAATCATAATATTAATTCACCTTTTTTTTTCGGGCTTGTGCTCATATGTATGCCAGTTAGGCTCTACACCTGTTATAAATCGGATTAATGTGCTTAATTTTAAGAAGTTATTTGGCCACTAGTTGTGATACAAACCTTATCAAAACATATACAGTGAGGGGAAAAAGTATTTGATCCCTTGCTGATTTTGTACGTTTGCCCACTGACAAAGAAATGATCAGTCTATAATTTTAATGGTAGGTTTATTTGAACAGTGAGAGACAGAATAACAACAACAAAATCCAGAAAAACGCATGTCAAAAATTTTATAAATTGATTTGCATTTTAATGAGGGAAATAAGTATTTGACCCCCTCTCAATCAGAAAGATTTCTGGCTCCCAGGTGTCTTTTATACAGGACACCTGTCCACAGAAGCAATCAATCAATCAGATTCCAAACTCTCCACCATGGCCAAGACCAAAGAGCTCTCCAAGGATGTCAGGGGCAAGTTTGTAGACCTACACAAGGCTGGAATGGGCTACAAGACCATCGCCAAGCAGCTTGGTGAGAAGGTGACAACAGTTGGTGCGATTATTCGCAAATGGAAGAAACACAAAATAACTGTCAATCTCCCTCGGCCTGGGGCTCCATGCAAGATCTCACCTCGTGGAGTTGCAATGATCATGAGAACGGTGAGGAATCAGCCCAGAACTACACGGGAGGATCTTGTCAATGATCTCAAGGCAGCTGGGACCATAGTCACCAAGAAAACAATTGGTAACACACTACGCCGTGAAGGACTGAAATCCTGCAGCGCCCGCAAGGTCCCCCTGCTCAAGAAAGCACATATACAGGCCTGTCTGAAGTTTGCCAATGAACATCTGAATGATTCAGAGGAGAACTGGGTGGAAGTGTTGTGGTCAGATGAGACAAAAAATCGAGCTCTTTGGCATCAACTCAACTCGCCGTGTTTGGAGGAGGAATGCTGCCTATGACCCCAAGAACATCATCCCCACTGTCAAACATGGAGGTGGAAACATTATGGTTTGGGGGTGTTTTTCTGCTAAGGGAACAGGACAACTTCACCGCATCAAAGGGACAATGAACGGGGCCATGTACCGTCAAATCTTGGGTGAGAACCTCCTTCCCTCAGCCAGAACATTGAAAATGGGTCATGGATGGGTATTCCAGCATGACAATGACCCAAAACACACGGCCAAGGCAACAAAGGAGTGGCTCAAGAAGAAGCACATTAAGGTCCTGCAGTGGCCTAGCCAGTCTCCAGACCTTAATCCCATAGAAAATCTGTGGAGGGAGCTGAAGGTTCGAGTTGCCAAACGCCAGGCTCGAAACCTTAATGACCTGGAGAAGATCTGCAAAGAGGAGTGGGACAAAATCCCTCCTGAGATGTGTGCAAACCTGGTGGCCAACTACAAGAAACGTCTGACATCTGTGATTGCCAACAAGGGTTTTGCCACCAAGTACTAAGTCATGTTTTGCAGAGTTTGGAAATTGCTCCCAAGGATGAACCAGACTTGTGGAGGTCTAACATTTTTTTCTGAGGTCTTGGCTGATTTCTTTTGATTTTCCCATGATGTCAAGAAAAGAGGCACTGAGTTTGGTAGGCCTTGAAATACATCCACAGGTACACCTCCAATTGACTCAAGTAATGTCAATTAGCCTATCAGAAGCTTCTAAAGCCATGACATAATTTTCTGGAATTTTTCATGCTGTTTAAAGGCACAGTCAACTTAGTGTATGTAAACTTCTGACCCGCTATTGTAGACCTCCACAAGTCTGGTTCATCCTTGGGAGCAATTTCCAAACGCCTGAAGGTACATTTACATTTTTTTTTACATTTTAGTCATTTAGCAGACTCTCTTATCCAGAGCGACTTACAGTTAGTGAATATCTTTTTTTTTTTATACTGGCCCCCCGTGGGAATCGAACCCACAACCCTGGCATTGCAAACGCCATGCTCTATCAACTGAGCCACATCCCTGCCGGCCATTCCCTCCCCTACCCTGGACGACGCTGGGCCAATTGTGCGCCGCCCATGAGTCTCCCGGTCGTGGCCGGCTGCGACAGAGCCTGGATTTGAACCAGGATCTCTAGTGGCACAGTTAGCACTGCGATGCAGTGCCTTAGACCACTGCGCCACTTAAAGGTACCACGTTCATCTGTACAAACAATAGTACGCAAGTATAAACACCATGGGACCACGCAGCCGTCATACCGCTCAGGAAGGAGACGCGGTCTGTCTCCTAGAGATGAACGTACTTGGGTGCGAAAAGTGTAAAACAATCCCAGAACAACAGCAAAGGACCTTGTGAAGATGCTGGAGGAAACAGGTACAAAAGTATATATTTCCACAGTAAAACGAGTCCTATATCGACATAACCTGAAAGGCCGCTCAGCAAGGAAGAAGCCACAGCTCCAAAACCGCCATAAAAAGCCAGACTACGGTTTGCAACTGCACATGGGGACAAAGATCGTACTTTTCTGAGAAATGTCCTCTGGTCTGATGAAACAAAAATAGAACTGTTTGGCCATAATGACCATCGTTATGTTTGGAGGAAAAGGGGGGTGGCTTGCAAGCCGAAGAACACCATCCCAACCGTGAAGCACGGGGGTAGCAACATCATACTGTTGGGGTGCTTTGCTGCAGGAGGGACTGGTGCACTTCACAAAATAGATAGCATCCTGAGGACGGAAAATTATGTGGATATATTGAAGCAACATCTCAAGACATCAGTCAGGAAGTTAAAGCTTGGTTGCAAATGGGTCTTCCAAATGGACAATGACCCTAAGCATACTTCCAAAGTTGTGGCAAAATGGCTTAAGGACAACAAATTCAAGGTTTTGGAGTGGCCATCACAAAGCCCTGACCTCAATCCTATAGAAAGTTTGTGGGCAGAACTGAAAAAGCATGTGCGAGCACGGAGGCCTACCTACCTGACTCAGTTACACCAGCTCTGTCAGGAGGAATGGGCCAAAATTCACCCAACTTATTGTGGGAAGCTTGTGGAAGGCTACCTGAAACGTTTGACCCAAGTAAAAAAATGTAAGGGCAATGCTACCAAATACTAATTGAGTGTATGTAAACTTCTGACCCACTGGGAATGTGATGAAATAAATAAAAGCTTAAATAAATCATTCTCTCTACTATTATTCTGACAATTAAAATAAAGTGGTGATCCTAACTGACCGAGGACAGGGAATTTCTACTAGGATTAAATGTCAGGAATTGTGAAAAACTGAGTTTAAATGTATTTGGCTTCAATTGTAATTACCGTGACTAAACGGTCACATGGAATTTGACTGCAATCATGACTTGTGACCGCCAGTGTGGCGGTTATACGTTCACCGTAACAGCCCTACGCCTGGCACCTACTACCACACTCCATTCAAGGCTTAAAGTATTATTTAACCTGTCTCCTCCCCTTCATCTACACTGCTTGAAGTGGATTTAACAGGTGACATCAATAAGGGATCATAGCGTTCACCTGGTCAGTCAGTCATAGAATGAGCAGGTGCTCCTAATGTTTTGTACACTTAAAGGATTTGACCCACAGCTCTGTGAGCTTAAGTACTGTATTTACAGATCACATACAAGTGTGTTATTTTGCCACAGGAAAGGTCACATCTTCAAGGCATTTCTGCAAAAAAAATCATAATAATTCAAACTAGTGCCAAATGCCCAGCTTCCTGAATCCAGTCACATTATTATATTAACTAAAGAAGGAAAACGTGTGTCTCAAGTGACAGCAGGTGCACATATCTTTTTACGAGGGTGTTGTTTATCATATTTCTGTGTGTTTAGGGCATGTGACATATGGGCAGTAAGTACATAGGGCAGGTGTGGCTTTAGTTTCTATTTAGAAAATGTGATATCCTTACCATCTGTCTGTATGTGAGGGACACATGGCCAGTATTAAGCTTAGGGAGTCACTATCTGTGTCACTGTGTGTGTGTGCGTCTCAGTCATACCCACAGTCTAACTGCCTGTGCCAGGTCCTGGTTATGTGTTGAATATCAGGCCATCTATCATTGGCTTGTGTGTGTTTTCCCTGTCTCTCAGAGGAGAAAGTGGAGATGACCGCTCCAGTGACGTGTCTGGTGGACCCTGGGGCTGGCCCGGCCTGTGAGACCACCTTCACAGTGTCCTTCTACATCCCAGAGGAGCACCAGGCCGACCCGCCCCAGCCCAGCGACCCAGATGTCTTCCTGGAGAACAGAAAGGAGTTCACTGTGTTTGTCAGGTAATGGACCAATACAGGTTTCACTCACAATAGCGGCTGCTGGCGTTTGAAATGTGAGGCAGTATAAGGCCAGCAGTTAGTGTTCATGAACACATCTGTGAGTAGTAGACCATAGACCACGGCACCAGTATCCTTTCTTTCCTTCCCTCATAAAATATATCCTTCTTTATGCTCCCTGACTTTCCATGCAGGACGTATGGGGGTTTCAACAACATGCAGAAGAGTCGTGAGGAGCTTCTGAATCTGCTAGAGAGCCTCCAGAGGGACGGGGCGTGCTACAAGGACATTCCCTACTACGTCTGTGGCTATGACAGCCCCTTCAAACTAGTCAACCGTAGAAATGAGGTCTGGATCCTCCAGAAGACAGAGCCGTAGTAAGGATTCAAAGGGGTCCCTGCCTTTCTCCCCGAAGTATGCACTTGAACACGCCTCATTTATTTAGAAGTATTGGATTAGTGTAGGCATGGACTAGTATAGAGGTAGTTCCTACCAGATACATTATATATCAGTGGAGGCTGCTGAGAGGAGGACGGCTCATAATAATGGGTGGAACAGAGCAAATGGAATGGCATCAAACACATGGAAACTATGTGTTGGATGTATTTGATACCATTCCACCTATTCCGCTCCAGCCATTACCACCGAGCCCGTCCTCCCCAATTAAGGTGCCACCAACCTCCTGTGCTATATATACAAAAGTATGTGGACACCCCTTCAAATTAGTGGATTCGGCTATTTCAGCCACACCCGTTGCTGACAGGTGTATAACATTGAGCACACAGCCATGCAATCTCCATAGACAAACATTGGCAGTAGAATGGCCTTACTGAAGAGCTCAGTGACTTTCAACTTGGCACCGTCATAGGATCCCACCTTTCCAACAAGTCAGTTCGTCAAATTTCTGCCCTGCTAGAGCTGCCCGGTCAACTGTAAGTGTTGTTATTGTGAAGTGGAAATGTCTAGGAGCAACAATGGCTCAGCTGCGAAGTGGTAGGCAACACAAGCTCACAGAACGGGAGTGCTGAAGCGCGTAAAAGTCGTCTGTCCTTGGTTGCAAGACTCACTACCGAGTTCCAAACTGCCTCTGGAAGCAACGTCAGCACAATAACTGTTGGTCGGGAGCTTAATGAAAGGGGTTTCCATGGCCGAGCAGCCGCACACAAGCCTAAGGTCACCATGCGCAATGCCAAGCGTCGGCTGGAGTGGTGTAAAGCTCACCGCCATTGGATTGGAGTAGTGGAAACGCGTTCTCTTGAGTAATGAATCACGCTTCACTATCTGGCAGTCTAGACGGATGAATCTGGGTTTGGCGGATGCCAGGAGAACGCTACCTGCCCGAATGCATAGTGCTAACTGTAAAGTTTGGTTTAGGGGGAATAATGGTCTGGCGCTGTTTTTCATGGTTCGGGCTAGGCCCCTTAGTTCCATTTGAAGGGAAATCTTAACGCTACAGCATACAATGACATTCCAGACAATTCTGTGCTTCCAACTTTTTGGCAACGGTTTTGGTAAGGCCCGTGCCTGTTTCAGCATGACAATTCCCCTGTGCACAAAGTGAGGTCCATACAGAAATGGTGTGGAAGAACTTGACTGGCCTGCACAGAGCCCTAACCACAACCCCATCGAACACCTTTGGGATGAATTGGAATACCCACTGCGAGCCTGGCCTAATCGCCCATCAGTGCCCGACCTCACTAGTGCACTTGTGGTTAAATTGAAGCAAGTCCCCGCAGCAATGTTCCAACATCTAGTTGAAAGCCTTCCCATAAGAGAGGAGGCTGTTACAGCAGCAAGGGGGGACCAACTCCATATTAATGCCCATGATTTTGGAATGAGATGTTCGACGAGCAGGTGTCCACATACTTTTGGTAATGTAGTGTAGCTATCTTAAAAGTCTGTTCATTTTCAATTGGTGAGGGGGAGTCAACGAGTGCACACGTTGGGGAGGAAGGTAAGGAACTGGACAGCATAGCCCCCATTCCCACTATGATTAGAGTAAGATATGCAGCTTTTTGGAGCAGAACTATAAGTGCCTAAGCAATGTCTGTGACCTTTCGTAATAATGATAGTACAGTAATAAGCTTGATGTCGATACTTAAAGAAATTTAGATACAGAGATGTCAAGGTGCTTTTCAGATGCTGTTAATCTTCAGGTCACTAAAGGGACTGATGATATACTGTAGCTGCTATTTGAGGCATGCCTTTCTACTACATTGTTTACTACAAGGGACTAAGATTTCAAAAATATTTTAACTCAATGCCGTTAGTCAGATGCTAGCATGACAAGCACTCATCTAAGCTAACATTAGCACCTCTTCAGAAAATAAAATGTACGGGGAAGACCTTTGAACTGACACACTGAATTCCTGAGACTCACTTAACTTTTGTTTTAAGCCTTTCAACTTTATTGTGCTCTTTTACTTATTAACTTTTACAAATTAATGGTGGCAATTATGTATATTGTACGGAGGACTTGGCGGTGTGGCTTGGCCCTGAGGGCTGCGTTGTGTGACTAGACATGCTTATGGAGTATTGCTGAACTATGGATTGCTGTGAGAGGAGTCTCAATGATGTGAAAATGTAATGTATGTCTAAATCTTGTCCTCCCCCCCCAAAAAATAACAATTTAAAAAAGGTTAGGATATTATGGTGTAAACTGATATTAGGGTTGTAAAAGGGACAGAAGCCAGATAAATGGTAAAATTGATTATACACTGGGTGTAGAAAACATTAGGAACACCTGCTCTTTCCACGACAGACTGATCAGGTGAAAGCTATGATCCCTTATTGATGTCACCTGTTAAATCCACTTCAATCAGTGTAGATGAAGGGGAGGAGACAGGTTAAAGAAGGATTTTTAAGCCTTGAGACAATTGAGACATGGATTGTGTATGTATGCCGTTGAGGGTGAATGGGCAAGACAAAAGATTTAAGCGCCTTTGAATGGGGTATGGTAGTAGTTGCCAGGCGTATCGGTTTGTGTGTCAAGAACTGCAACGCTGCTGGGTTTTTCACGCTCAACAGTTTCCCGTGTGTATCAAGAATGGTCCACCACCCAAAGGACATCCAGCCAACTTGACACAACTGTAGGAAGCATTGGAGTTAACATGGGCCAGTATCCCTGTGGAACTCTTTCGACATCTTGTAGAGTCCATGCCCCGACGAATTGAGGCTGTTCTGAGGACAAAAGGAGGTGCAACTCAATTTTAGGATGGTGTTCCTAATGTTTTGTACACAGTGTATATTCCGTTACACATTCTTTACTATGATATATACAATTATTCAACGAAGTAATACTTTTCACTATATTACATGATTGTGGATGTATAAAATTAAAATTTATTTACGATTTTACAATCAATGTATGTAAAACAATGTGATGAATAAATTAATTCAAATGTCTACTTTCATGGAGTAGTGAATGTGTTGTTTGGGCTTTAGTTTCTGAGAACAGTGCTTTTGGAGGATGAAATCCATAGGTACACAACAAATCTGTATGTCATACAAACTGAAGGTCATGACCCTTTGCAGCCAGCTGAAATCCTGTCTCATCCATACCTTTCGCGCCCCTGATCTCTCTTCACCCTTCCTCTCTTGCAACCGTTGAATAAATTATGCATATTGGAAAAAACAGTAAAGAATTCTAGTCTCATTAGATGTCTCCCGAGTGGCGCAGTGGTCTAAGGCTGTTCCACTAGAGATCCTGGTTCGAATCCAGGCTCTGTCGTAGCCGGCCGCGACCGGGAGACCCATGGGGCGGCGCACAATTGTCCCAGCGTCGTCCAGGGTAGGGGAGGGAATGGCCGGCAGGGGATGTAGCTCAGTTGGTAGAGCATGGCGTTTGCAACGCCAGGGTTGTGGGTTCGATAAAATAATGTATGTGCTAACTGTAAGTCGCTCTGGATAAGAGCGTCTGCTAAATGACTAAAATGTAAATGTAAATGTAAAGATGTTGAGTCAAGGTTTTATAATGAAAATCATTAGCAAGTCAATAGAAAATGTCCCAGTATCATGAGCTTATATCTGAAGATGGGTTGGCTGGCTAGGGTCTGTATGGGGCAGTGACACTTGAGTATTGGAAAGAGGGCGGACACAGCGTGTCACTGGAATGATTATGGGAGGGAGAGATCCGTCGTATTGATTGATGTGTGACAGTGAAATGTAGGGACTGCTGTCTGGAATATTAAAAGGGAGATGGAGTAACACTGTTCTATATTCAAGTGGTACGGTCTACCAGTCAGCCCAATAATGTGTGTGTGTGGGTTGGTGCACTGCTAAAACTAAGGGTGCTTTGTAGTTCTTTATAGCACCATTTCATATAGCAGTGTGTGGATTGGTGGATATGCAATGCCAATGTCCCTATGGAGATAACTTGGGTCTCAATTACAGCGACCAACAGGGGTTAATGCCTCTGTCTTTATGGAATATTAGGAGAAGCGGTGACATTTATGCAGTGTCAATATATGTCACACAGTTATGATGATTGGCGCAACAGTTAAGAGGTTGACAGTCTCAAACAGTGGGATATTATGTGACACCCGGTGATGCAGAGTTCTAATGGGACGTCCAGAGGTGAGAGGCATAAGGGATGACCTGGAGGAGGAAGTGGGGGCTAAGTGATGGCCTCTGGAGTTTTCCGGATGACGGATGACAGTGGGTGCCATGGCAACGGTGCTAATGAGGCGGTGATTTGGGCGGCGGGCTGGCAGAAGGATCGTGAATCACACAGAGAGGTAGAGAGAGAGACGAGACACACTTTAAATATCAACATGTTTTATTACATAGACATATACACAAGAGGTTAGCAGCCTGCCTCCTCTGCCTTTACATCCACTATCTCCCCCTCCCCTCCTTTCATCCCTCTCCTCTCTTCCCTTCCTCCCTCCTCTCTTCCCCTCCTCCTCCTCCTTAGCGAGCTGAGATTGAGACTTCATAAGCTCCCATCGTGAGCCGGACTGAGATGAGCTCTCAGTCATGGCTGGGTCTGAACTCTGCGAGACACTTGTCACAGGTGATTAAACCTGGGCCGTTACAGGCTCTACGAGGGTATGAAGAGTCACGCTTGTCACCTCCTCTATGACACATCAGGTCAGATTTACTGAGCTTTTGCACCAGGGTGGAATATTTCATTTAATACCAAAGAGCTAAAATAATGTATTTATTTCACCTTTATTAATCTTTATGGTTTTATTACTTATTTTTGTACCTCTTTAGGTTTTTAATACCACTATAATGTTACAATATTTACTCTATCTTTGTAAACCTAGCCTGTGAACTGTGGTCCTGGCTCTCCACTTGTCCCCGCACATCCAGATCCCTCCCCGCCCCAAACCTTTCCTCACCTCCACCTGACTGCTGGTCGTCTGGGGCTAGAGTACTGACTGCTGGTTGGCTGGGGCTAGAGTACTGACTGCTGGTTGGCTGGAGTACCTGACTGCTGGTTGCTGGGTGTTGGAGTACCACATCACAGCCTCACTATTTTAAAATAAATAGTCTACAAAAGGAAACCACTCCCTTTCAACAAAAAAGTCTTTGAAAATAAGTCAAATGTTACTTAAACACTTTTTTAAAACAAAAATAACCACATAAAACTGTGCAGGAAGAGAGAAACCTAGTAGAAACGTAAACTGAGTGATGGTAATCATAATCATAAGCCCTAGAAGGTTCTAGAAGGTAATCTCACCAAACTCCACAATACCTCGGTCAATACGTCTGGTCCAGTACGGCCAATCACAGATTCAGATTGTGTCCATATTAGCAAAAACATGAGGCTACGTTTAATTGTTTAGCTCTTTGGTAACCAAAATGATCACAAATAAAAATATGACAGTTTAAGTATTTTTTCCATTTGACTTTTTTAAAGATGAATTCTTCATTTCCAAACATGAGTGAAAGGGAAAGGGAGAATACCTAAACACAGGCTTAAAACAATATAAAACAATTCTAAACACGGTTTTAAAATTACACAAAGAAAAAGGAAACACATATGGACAGTGCAAATCTACAAACTAAAATTCCAAACACCCAAGGTTTTCCAAACCTCCATATTAAATCCATCATATTGGCTGTGTGTCGTGTGTAGAACAGACCTAGCCATTGTCCATGTGCGTCTCTTCACCTGCCTGTCGCTAGGGGGCAGTCACCAGCCCTCTGCACTTCCCCTTGACCACTGAAAGTTCCAGCTCCTGCAAACTACCAAACCACAGACTTCAAAGAGCAGAAGAAAAAAAACTTCACAAGAACCAAAGCTGGAGCTGTGTCCCGGAACCATTTGGTGTTCTAGAATGTTTTACCATACATACTCACAAGCAATGGTATATTAATGGCCTTTAGACTCAAGATAACATGAGATAAGTAGCAAGCAGACAGAAATACACTGCATTTAAGCCAGCCCCAGCACATCTTCAAGTTCCACATTCCACTGCCTGACTAACTAATGGCACCACTGCAGCCAAAATAAAAACAACTTGTCACTTTTCAATACCTTCATATCACCTTAGCTTTTCCCTTAACCTTAGAGAAACCTTCTAAAAACTACAGGAACCAACCCTGAATACAATCAGCACCTCCGAAGCTCTAACAGGAATCATTTTTTATTAAAACGAGCAAACAAACAAAACAATGGGAAAATCAGTCTTTGGAAAAAAACGATAATTATTACTTTTTTTGTAACACAAACGATGGGTTATCAAAATTAAATGCAGAAATGTGATTGAGGAAAATTAGTCTTGAAAAGCTGCAGCTGAGTCGGTCTCCACTTCAGACTAAGAACAGTCCGGTCAGTCCGTGAGGGCCACAGGGCCAGTCAGGTCCGCTTCCTCAGAACCAGGTCCAAAACCTACAGGATCTGGAGCCAGGGGTGGGTGGAGCCAGGGGTGGGGCTCGGGGGGCACATGAGTCTCTGGAGGGCCTATCATTGGCTCCTCCACCCTCCCTGGGGACCATGAGTGAGTTCAGCTCCCTGTATCCAGGGGGCGGTCCCTTCTATCTAACTACTGCTCTCCTCAGATAAAGTGCCGTTGGAATCCTGGAGCAGGGGGAGGGGCATGGGCAAGGGGCAGGGCTGGCTGTCAGGGACGTCTCCGTACTCTGCGCTCTCAGCTAACTCCCCCTCACGCTCGCAGATGACCGTCATAGGGCTGCTCAGGATGCGGTTGCGGGCGTTGTACTTGCTGCTGGCAGCAGAGGGCGGCGTGCGCGATCGCCCGTACTTCATCCCGCTCAGTGACGATGATGGGGAGGAGGAGTAGGACAGGCCCTCATTGCGGGCCCATTCCTCTGGCGCCCTCTTGCTGCGACCTGGGGAAGCGCAAGGGCTGTGTGGTGTTGTCGGCGACGATGGTGAGGAGGGCGGGTCCAGGGAGGACTCGGAGCGGGTCCTCTGGAAGCGCGGGTCTGTGGAACGCAGCATGTCGGCGGCCGACATGCGGAAGCTGGTCTCAGAGCGGCTTCCCTTCTTCAGGAGCAGAGCCTTGAAGGTGTCGCTGCTGGTGGCAGACTTACGCAGGTTGCGCTGAATGGAGCCCGTCTGCCTGCCCATGGGCAGCGAGGATACCAGGCTGGGGGAGGTGCCCGTGGGGGTGACAGGGGGAGACGGACAGGGGGAGTGGCCCTGCGTCTTGTCCTCCTCAGACTCCTTACGACCCAGAACCTTCCGCTTGGACCTAAGGGTAGAGGAGGAGAGCCTGGTTAGGGACAAGGTTGATTAGAGACATTAAGCTGAGGTTGGAGTGATAAATGGATAGGAGAGCAGGGTTAGTGATATTGAGCAGGCTAGGCAGCATGGCTGGGTAGGAGGACAGCGGGTACAGGACATATTCAGAGGGTGGAGGGGTAGAGAGGGAGCACGGGGTTGGAGACTGTCCAGAGTCCAGGCCAAAGCTCAGAAGCAATTCTTCAAACACATCTACTCAGCTCAACACTCAATGAAACAGCCTCTACTACTCTATGGCTCAACCAATGATGGAACATTAGTACTAACTTATTTTTCTTAAACAAAGCTTTCCTCTAATAAGACATGCCAGTTGGCATACACACCTTTCTGAACAGTGTCCCAATTCAGCCATATGTCAACAATGCCCCCAGCAATCCCAGGGTGCACTGCTTCAGAAGCCTAGAAGAAGCAAGGATAATCTAACAATAGAGGGGGTGAGTGGCGCAGGGGCTGGGAAGCGGGGGAGGAGGGGGCTGGTGCTTTTAAATATTTTATTCAAATGCGATAAAGAAAACTGCACACGCTGCAACTCTAGGGGAACGCTAAGAGGTGGCACAATGGAATTCATTAACAACACTAACTGGGAAAAGCGCACAGACCTTTTTTAAAAAAAATCTAAAGACAGTTCAGCATCCTTGACAGCAGGGGCTGCCATACTACTCCTCCACACCACCATGTCTACCTACCATAGACTCACAAATGTAGAAATGCGTTCCTTAGTCATAAGCGTTGTGCTAAAGCCGTGGCTAGCAGGGGAGATCGGATTAGCGCAGGGGAAAACAGCATAATTAATCTGAATCCAGGGGTTGCTTGGGGATTATGGCGCTAATCCAGTGCTAGCGTTACCACGGGGAAGAAACAGGACCGGCCAATTACAGTAATGGGCTACTTGCCGCGCCTAACCTCTCTAGACAGGGGGCGCTCTCACTCTCACTCTGCATTCCCCCGCTGCACCAGGGAGGAAGAAGAAGAGGTGGAGCTAGAAGAGCAGAGTGTGGAGGGCAGACAGTGACATGACAAAAGGGATTTGATGACATAGGAGAAGGAGGGTGAATGAGGCAGACAGATGCAACATTTAATCCTTCAGATCAGGTCCAAAGACAGAGAGGTTTAAGTAAATCAACTGTCTTTAACAGAGAAGAAGAAATAAAGACAAGCACGATATATCCATGATATAATATGGAGTCAATGACAGAGAGAGAGATCCAGATATGAGAGAAGACTGGATAGGAGTCTGTTAGTTGGGGCTGGGAGGTTTGAGGGACGTCTGTGCCCCAAATACAACGTCAACACCGTGGTGTCCCATGAGAGCTCCAGCAGTACATTAGCCCATAGGTTATAGCAGCAGGATTACGTAACATCACTCGCTCTCTCACACCTGATTTAACCAGGCCCAGGCAACTCCACATCTGACTCCCCGGACTGATGCTGTTCCAACAATTGACACACACACACACACACACACACACACAAACCTACAGACACAAAGTACAAACACACACAATTCTACAGAGACAAAGGACAAACACAACGAATGTGGTAAGGTGAGAGAAAAGGAGTGGGGGGAGAGAAAATTAATTTCAGAGGGACAGACAGATAGAGAAAAGGGAATGAGAGAAAGACAGATGGAGAAAAGAAGGGAAAGGCAGAAATACCAATCCAATGTATCAAGAAATACAAACACACACAACCATCACACAGGTTTTGAGTGGTGCACCGATTTCTTCTCACTGTACAATGTTTGATTGTGAGAATCTCTCCAGCCAGCTCCATCCTACCCCTGCTGTCGTTGTGATAACAATCCATTCAGGTTTTAATCATTCTCTCCCTCCATTTTTCATCAGTTTCTGAGTGAGTGAGAGGGAGAGAACGCAGAGAGGAGTAGAGTAGAGAGGCTAGAGGGAGCACAAGGCAAACAGTGCTGGGTTTACCTCTGGTCAGCAGCAACAGCTGGTGCCCTAATGTCTACATCTACTTACTATAGCCTTCCTTCCTTACCTCCTTCACAGGGCTAACTTGTCTTTGCCTCTAATATAGCACACAAAGATATTAGAGTGAGGAGAAATCCACCAGGAAAGGTAAAGCCCACAAACGCACAAGAGGATGGACACATACACATACACACACACCAAAGCCAGCAGAAATAAAATCCCCTGAAATGAAATCCTGTGATTCTCGGGAGCTCTCTGACCATCATACCGCTGCACGTGACCAGGATACACACACGCCAGTTGGTTGCGTGAGCAAATGATGTGTGTGTATGCTCCATTGAACGCATGCACATGTGTGAGAACGTAGAGAGTACATGGACTGGAAGAGCAGAGTGTACAGGACAGAGAGAGAGTGAGAGACAGAAAAGCTCTTAAGTGAAGCCTCTAACCTCGATCTGATCTAGGTTCAACTAGCTCAATAATGAATGAACCATCAGCTTTTCACCCACTAAGAAGAAGTAGCAACAGTCATCAAAATAGTTAAAAGGTTTAAAAAATAATGCAACAGTTGGACAGTTTTAATTTTATCCATCAGATATTGACTGAATTATAGCACATACAAGATTTTACTGGCACGGAAAAATAATGAATGGAGTTCAGGGATTTTGGTGGAAATTCAGGTTTAACATATATTGTTAAATGCAACTTTTTTTTTCTTAGAATGCACTTATACAATGAGTGTACAAAACATTAGGAACACTTGCTATGATCCCTTATTGATGTCACCTGTTAAATCCACTTCCATCAGTATAGATGAAGGGGAGGAGACAGGTTAATAATATTTTAAAACCTTGATACAATTGAGACATGGATTGTGTATGTATGCCATTCAAAGAGTGGTATGGTAGTAGAACTGCAACGCTGCTGGGTTTTTTCACGCTCAACAGTTTCCATGTGTATCAAGAATGGTCCACCACCCAAAGGACATCCAGCCAACTTGACACAACTGTGGGAATCATTGGAGTCAACATGGGCCAGCATCCCCGTGGAATGCTTTCGACACCTTGTAGAGTCCATGCCCCGACAAATTGAGGCTGTTCTGAGGGCAAAATAGAGGGGGGCAACTCAATATTAGGAAGGTGTCCTTAATGTTTTGTATACTGTGTATATTCATTTTCTAATGGTAAGGTATTTTTTTTAAAAATATTTTGTTATAAAATAAAGAAAATCATATGTGCCTAATTTGCATAAACACACTGGGTGTATTTGCATTTATGAATAGATTAACATAAAGGTGTGGAACAGGGCTGCAACCACCAAAACGTGCTCTTTCTATGCCTATCTGCATTGTCTAGACTGCCTCATTAATGACTGTTGTTGTCAAGTTCTGTTGCATAATTCAACAAGTGTCAATAGCAGGATACCCTCAGATTAAAAATCAACATGCTTGGCTCTAAATGACATCCATCTATGCATAATTTATATTGTTTGCGAGATCAGATCACTATAATACGAGTGTTTGTTTTTCGGAAGTTGCTTTCATTTCAGCGCATCTAATTTGTAAAAATGTCAACTGTATTAAATAATTACTTTTTTCAATTCCACCAAAAATGAACACCCATCAAAATAAAGTTATCTTTCTTATCTTTCTTGTGATGTACAGTGCATTCAGAAAGTATTCAGACCCCTTCCCCTTTTCCACACTTTGTTACGTTCCAGCCTTATTCTAATATATATATATATTTTTTAAGAATCCTCATCAATCTACACACAATACCCCATAATGACAAAGCAAAAACTGGTTTTAGAAATGTTTCAAATATAAAAAATACATAAAAAACAGAAATACCTTATTTACATAAGTATTCAAACCCTTTGCTATGAGACTCGAAATTGAGCTCAGGTGCATCCTGTTTCCATTGATCATCCTTGAGATGTTTTTACAACTTGATTGGAGTCCACCTGTAGTAAATTCAATTGATTGGATGATTTGGAAAGGCACACACCAGTCTATATAAGGTCCCACAGTTGACAGTGCATGTCAGAGCGAAAACCAAGCCATGAGGTCGAAGGAATTGTCTGTAGAGATCTGAGACAGGATTGTGTCGAGGCACAGATCTGAGGAAGGGTACCAACAAATTTCTGCAGCATTGAAGGTCCCCAAGAACACAGTGGCCTCATCATTCTTAAATGGAAGAAGTTTGGAACCACCAAGACTCTTCCTAGAGCTGGCCGCCCGGCCAAACTGAGCAATCAGGGGAGAAGGGCCTTGGTCAGGGAGGTGACCAAGAACCTGATAGTCACTCTGCAGCACTCCACCAATCAGGCCTTTATGATAGAGTGGCCAGACGGAAGCCACTCCTCACCAAAAGGCAACTAAAGGACTCTCAGACCATGAGAAACAAGATTCTCTGGTCTGAAGAAACCAAGATTGAACTCTTTGGCCTGAATGCCAAGCGTCACGTCTGGAGGAAACCTGTTACCATCCCTACGGTGAAGCATGGTGGTGGCAGCATCATGCTGTGGGGATGTTTTTCAGCGGCAGGGACTGTGAGACTAGTCAGGATCGAAGGAAAGATGAACGGAGAAAAGTACAGAGAGATCCTTGATGAAAACCTGCTCCAGAGCGCTCAGGACCTCAGACTGGGGCGAAGGTTCACCTTCCAACAGGACAATGACCCTACGCATACAGCCAAGACAACGAAGGAGTGGCTTTGGGACAAGTCTCTGAATGTCCTTGAGTAGCCCAGCCAGAGCCCGGACTTGAACCCGATCGAACACCTCTGGGGAGACCTGAAAATAGCTGTGCAGCGATGCTCCCCATCCAACCTGACAGAGCTTGAGAGGATCTGCAGAGAAGAATAGGAGAAACTCCCCAAATACAGGTGCGTCATACCCAAGAAGACTCGAGGCTGTAATCGCTGCCAAAGGTGCTTCAACAAAGTACTGAGTAAAGGGTCTGAATACTTATGTAAATGTGATATTTCCGTTTTTTATATTTTTTTATACATTTGCTAACATTTCTAAAAACCTGTTTTTGCTTTGTCATTATGGGGTATTGTGTGTAGATTGATGAGGAATATATATTTTTTAAATCCATTTTAGAATAAGGCTGTAACGTAACAAAATGTGGACAAAGTCAAGAGGTCTGAATACTTTCCGAAGGCACTGTAAGTGTCGAGAAGACGTGTTAAATCCCTGACGAAGCTTTAGTGTTCTTATAGACGCAACGGAAATACAATGTATTCCATTAAACCCATTTCAGCCATTACCAGGGTGTGTTTGCACCTCTCAAACACAGGAAATAGATGACTGAAAAACACAGATCCTCAGGTGGGCGGGGCATGCGCATTGCTAAATGAAGCTACTAGCTACCATCTACCATCCAGTATCCCTTCACCAGCACCCATTAACTACTACTGGTTTCTCTTCCCAGTGAGCCCATCTCTGTCTAACAGACACGTTACAGAGAAAAGCTCTCCACTGCCTGGCTGCCAGACCCAGGGACACCAGACACCTGCCTACCGCCTGACAAATGTACAAATCAAACCAAATTGTATTTCTCACATGCTTCGTTAACAACAGGTGTAGACTAACAGTGAAATGCTTAATTATGGGTCCTTTGCCAACAATGCAGAGTTAAAGATAAAGATTTGTTTAAATTAATAAAAAGGACAGCCTGGCTAAACGTATGGGAGGGAGAGGAGTGATGGACTGAGGAGAATGGCAAGATGAAGGGAAGGTACAGAGGTTAGGATGACTGTCATGCTGCGACAGAGAGAAAGATAGAAAGAGCAGTAAGAGAAAGCTATAGTGCAGTGGGGTGGTTGAGGAGGATAGGAGAGGGATGAGAGTGTTGTGAATATGAGAGAGAGAGAGCTGGTTGAGGAGGATAGAGGGGTATAGGGAGTAAATAAATGGAAAGTTGAGAGATGGTGACCGTGCCATTACGTACCTGTGGATGGCAGCAAAGAGGTCCTCGGTAGTTCGGGGGCGTGTGGGGGTCACCATATCCCCCCGCCTGGGGGTCCTGTTGGTGCTGGGGGCCGGCGAAGACTCAGCAGTGCTGCTTGAATCAAACACCTCACCTAGGAGACACACACATATTAGACACACACACATTAGAAACACGTTACACACCCTGATGAGAGAACACATACACAATACATACACACCGACCGAGGAACGAATACAAGCATTACACAGCCCTACAATAGTCAAACACTTCACCTGGTAAATAAAAACACATGCACACAGGACACATGTCACCCACACACGGACAGCAGCTGAGGAGCAAGCTAACACACACACATAACCGATGGTCGGATATCCCGCAAAAGTAACCTGAGTGCCTAAGAGATATAGAGGTGGTGCTGGACTGGCTTCTTACATTCTCTCCCTCTCTCTCTCCTCTAGTTGAGCTTCTCTCCTCCTCCTCCCTCGCTCGTGTCTGCACTTCGACTGCCTGAGCCGCTGCAGGCGATCTCATGTTACGCTCGCCCCCTCCCTCCCTCCCTCCCTCCCTCCCTCCCTCCCTCCCCACCCACATCTCCTCTCATCTCCCCTCCCCTCCTATACAGTGGGCCCCTCCCCCTACTCTCCACATTCCCCCGCCTCCCTCCACTAAACAGACCTCCCCTAGGACAGATGTCCCCTACCTCCCAGAGAGAGAGAGAGAGAGAGAGAGAGAGAGAGAGAGAGAGAGAGAGAGAGAGAGAGAGAGAGAGAGAGAGAGAGACAGAGAGAGAGACAGACAGAGAGAGAGAGAGAGAGAGAGAGAGAGAGAGAGAGAGAGAGAGAGAGAGAAAAAAAAGACAACAGGACAGAGAGAATGACAGATGGAAAAGAGGAAAGTACAGTATAAAATAGATAGTTGGACATAAGGATAGATGGGGTGGACAGAGGGAAGCAGAGGTGAGAGAGAAAAGGAGAGTCCAGTAATAGAAAGGACATAGGGGAGACAGATTAGAATTGAATGAGACAGTGAGAGCATAAAACAAACCAGAACAACAGAAGATGGAGTGAGGATGGAGTGAGAGATTTTTTTAAAATTGTTTATTTCACTTGCTTTGGCAATGTAAACATGTTTCTCATGTCAATAAAGCCCCTTTGAACTGAATTGAGAGAGATGATAAATCCAGGCATCTGCCGCAGTGCTGTCCCTCACTAAGCTGAGCTCTCACTTGGGGGAAGAGGAGGAGGCAGGCAGGTATGATGCCTCTCTGGCTAGCTCAATGACACAGAACAGACAACAACCAGGCGGCACCATGCTACATTAGCACTAAATGGGCAAACTATGTTTTGAGACCATTTCTTTTTTGGGCACTGTTTGCGGAGACGCTTCGACTCCTGCCAGCCCTGATGGCAGCTTCTTCTAGTTCAAGATTCAGTTAAAACCAGAGATACAGGGAGGCCTTCCCTATGCATCCTTCCAGGAATATCCTAAACCTTTGATCACATTCAATAAAGGGAATCTGTATTGTGTTGCTAACCCTGTCTTCCGTCTACACCTTTTATATACCTTCACAGTCAGAGAGAGAGCAGGCAGTCTAAGACCAGCTTGGAGGAAGCTGGCCCCAATACCTGCCCTTCGTCCTGCCCTGAAGTGGGATTTGAAGAAGGACCGAGGGACAGCTGGAAACCCCAGCTAAAGCCCCTAGCCTTAAGCACAGCTAATGTCTAGCAATGTAACCTACAGTTGAAGTCGGAAGTTTACATACACCTTAGCCAAATACATTTAAACTCAGGTTTTTCACAATTCCTGACATTTAATCCTAGTAAAAATTCCCTGTCTTAGGTCAGTTAGGATCACCACTCTATTTTAAGAATGTGAAATGTCAGTTTAATAGTAGAGAGAATTATTTATTTCAGCTTTTATTTATTTCATCACATTCCCAGTGGGTCAGAAGTTTACATACACTCAATTAGTATTTGGTATCATTGCCTTTAAATTGTTTAACCTGGGTCAAACGTTTCAGGTAGCCTTCCACAAGCTTCCCACAATAAGTTGGGTGAATTTTGGCCCATTCCTCCTGACAGAGCTGGTGTAACTGAGTCAGGTTTGTAGGCCTCCTTGCTCGCACATGCTTTTTCAGTTCTGCCCACATATTTTCTATAGGATTGAGGTCAGGGCTTTGTGATGGCCACTCCAATACCTTGAATTTGTTGTCCTTAAGCCATTTTGCCACAACTTTGGAAGTAGGCTTAGGGTCATTGTCCATTTGGAAGACCCATTTGCAACCAAGCTTTAACTTCCTGACTGATGTCTTGAGATGTTGCTTCAATATATCCACATAATTTTCCTTCCTCAGGATGCTATCTATTTTGTGAAGTGCACCAGTCCCTCCTGTAGCAAAGCACCCCCACAGCATGATGCTGCCACCCCCGTGCTTCACGGTTGGGATGGTGTTCTTCGGCTTGCAAGCACCCCCTTTTTCCTCCAAACATAACAATGGTCATTATGGCCAAACAGTTCTATTTTTGTTTCATCAGACCAGAGGACATTTCTCAGAAAAGTACGATCTTTGTCCCCATGTGCAGTTGCAAACCGTAGTCTGGCTTTTTTTATGGCGGTTTTGGAGCAGTGGCTTCTTCCTTGCTGAGCGGCCTTTCAGGTTATGTCGATATAGGACTCGTTTTACTGTGGATATAGATACTTTTGTACCTGTTTCCTCCAGCATCTACACAAGGTCCTTTGCTGTTGTTCTGGGATTGATTTGCACTTTTCGCACCAAAGTACGCTCATCTCTAGAAGACAGAACGCGTCTCCTTCCTGAGCGGTATGGCGGCTGCGTGGTCCCATGGTGTTTATACATGCGTACTATTTTTTGTACAGATGAACGTGGTACCTTCAGGCGTTTGGAAATTGCTCCCAAGGATGAACCAGACTTGTGGAGGTCTACACATTTTTTTCTGAGGTCTTGGCTGATTTCTTTTGATTTTCCCATGATGTCAAGCAAAGAGGCACTGAGTTTGAAGGTAGGCCTTGAAATACATCCACAGGTACACCTCCAACTGACTCAAATGATGTCAATTAGCCTATCAGAAGCTTCTAAAGCCATGACATCATTTCTGGAATTTTCCAAGCTGTTTAAAGGCACAGTCAACTTAGTGTATGTAAACTTCTGACCCACTGGAATTGTGATACAGTGAATTATAAGTGAAATAAAATGTCTGTAAACAATTGTTGGAAAAATTACTTGTGTCATGCACAAAGTAGATAACCGACTTGCCAAAACTATAGTTTGTTAACAAGAAATGTGTGGAGTGGTTGAAAAACGGGTTTTAATGACTCCAACCTAAGTGTATGTAAACTTCCGACCTCAACTGTAGGCTTCTCCAAGCTCTGATGCTGCTGATGGTCATTAGTAGCCTACCAAACTTGCTAACTGCCTGGTAGCACTCTATTGTCGCTCTAATCACTGACATCAATGCAAATGTTATCGAAAATCGAATCAAACACGTATTGAGAGCCCATGAGTTCATGTTGCGCAACATTTCTATAGGCTATGCAATTACCTGAGAAAACAGTTTTAATTGCCTCTATTAAAAAGAGAGGATCCCATCAGCTTTCTATAGGCTAGGTCTACTATATTTATTTATCAACTTTCCTAATATTAAGCTCATTGCTTCGCTTTACAACAGGAGTATAGCCTACCTGGCTGGCATGAAAATGAACCATGGGAAAAGCATCCTCCATTCGCTATTTAAGTGCATAGATGGTCCATTCTAAATCAAAACTAATTTCATACATACAGTACCAGTCAAAAAGTTTGGACACACCTACTCATTCAAGGGTTTTTCTTTATTTGTACTATTTTTTACATTGTAGAATAATAGTGAAGAGATCAAAATTATGAAATAACACATATGGAATCATGTAGTAACCAAAAAAGTGTTAAACAAATCAAAATATATTTTATATTAGAGATTCTTCAAATAGCCACCCTTTGCCTTGATGACAGCTTTGCACACTCTTGGCATTCCCTCAACCAATACATTTTTGGAGTGGTTGAAAAACGAGTTTTAATGACTCCAACCTAAGTGTATGTAAACTTCCGACTTCAACTGTATCTCTCAACTGCCTTTTACCTCAGCCAACGCAAACTGTCAGCACAGCTAACAAACACCTGCCACCATCAGTCAGCACTGAATAGCTGCTAATGATGACAGACTAGACCTTGAACTCAGCAACCAACAGTTTGATTGTAAGCTGCCTCAATGTAATTTACAAAACAGATGTCCCATTTTATTTCTTCAAAACATTCAATTTTATTCAATTTTATCTGAATTTAATTTGAGTATTTTTGGTGTTAATAATACAAATTAAATCTAACTCACCACTCTCGTCGTCCTTAGAGCTGACTGATCCAGTGGTACTGCTGGTCCCATCTTCCTCATCTTCTTCCTCCTCTTCCTCCTCTTCCTCAGCCTCTCTGTTTTGCTCCTGCCCCTCAGCGAGGCTTGTCTCCTGTGTGACGGTGGCCGGAGGCTGGGTCTCCTTCTGGCTCTTCGTGGAGGTGAAGGGTTCACTACACTCTGTCAGGGCTGAGGAACTCTCTGAAACCTCATCTTCCTCCTGCTCTTTCTCCTCATTTCCCTCCTCCTTAGTCTCTTCCTCTCTCACTTTAGCGTCCACCTGGTCTTCTTCTGTGGTGGCTGAGGGTGGTCTCATCCTGGGGGCTCAGTGTGGTGGTAGTCTGGGCGGTCTCCTCTCCCACCACAGACTGGGGGGTGACAAGAGACAGTTTGGGCTTCTTGGAGACCACTGAGGGTTTCTGTTTGACTGGGGGGATTTTGATTGCCTCCTCCACGGGGCTTGGGAGGGGTGACTGCCCCTCCTGATCTGGTTGGGCTGAGCTGTTGGACAGGCTCTGTTCCTCAGGTTTACCGTTGGTGATGGCGCCCCCAGGCAGCACCTCAGAGTCACTGCCGTCCGCGGACAGTTCAGCGAAGAGCTTCTTCACAGCAGATGATGAGGCCTTGGTGATTTCCTCTGGACTGGTGCAGTTCATCAGGGGCAGCATAGTGGGATGCTCCAGCTGCTTAAGCTTCTCCGGCGTGTGGGGCTTGAGGGCCCAGAACTGGTTGCCCCCCGTTTCCTGAGCTTTGGTATGTTCCGCCTTGCCGTTGACTTGCTCCTCTGGCCGCTTGACTGAGCGGAGGCCGCACACTCTGCAGGGCGAATGGGGTGATCAGGGGCATGGGGGACTTGCCGGCCTCCTTGGCTGCTGGGCTGTTAGTGAACGCAGCTGGTTTTAGAGCGTTCTTTGCTGCCTTCAGGGTGAGAGGGGAGGCTGTGGGTGGAGCAGGGGCAGGCAGGGGGGGAGGTGGTGGAGGAGAGGGGACCATGGAGGGGAATGGAGGTGGATGAGGAGGAGGACTGAGGGTCCCATTGAAGGAGAGGCTGGGGTGGATAAGGGAATCTGGAGGTGGAGGGGGAGGGAAGTCTGGAGAGGTGGAGTAAGGGGGCGGGCTCATGGGGGTGCCCTGAGGGGTTGTGGGTAATGGAGGTGCGAGGGGCAGAGGGGGAGAGCTGGGGCTGGATGGGGGGAGAGGAGCAGGGAAAGGAGGTGGGGGGCTGATGGGTTTGGTGGGTGCTGAGGTGGGAGGCAGGGGAGCAGGAGGTGGGCCAGAGTTCCTGAGAGAGTCAGAGGCGTTTGAGGAGAGGGAGGTGGAGGAGGAGGAGATGGAAATGGATGACAGGAGTGAAGACTTCCTCTCAGGCACTTTGGGCTTGGGCCGCCCCGAGGGTGAGTGGGACCTCATGAAGGAGGGCACGGGGGTGCCGGCCGTGGGGGTGTTGGACTGGCTGGAGTAGCCGCTGGAGGGGGAAGTCAGTCTATGGATCCTGTCCGGGGAAGAGGTGGCCGTCTTGGGCTTGACCGCCACACCTCCCTCCTGGGCTGGAGGGACCGAGGCCTGGATATTGATGTGATTGTGGAGACTCCCACTTCCATTCGACAGACCCCTCGGGTGTGTGCCCGCTACAATGTTGGCAGCAGGGTGGTGTTGGTGAATGGAGGGGGACTGCGGCCCCTGGTCTCCATGGTTACGGGGGTAATCCATGTAGTAGCCCCAGGACTCTGCGTAATCGGAGCGCAGGCTGCTGGTGTCGCTGTGAGCTGGCGTCACATGACAGAGTGAGTACACATTAGCCACTACGCAACTGTTAGTGTTGTTAGCCGCTAGCGACGCGGCGGAGCTGGCGGCGCTCACACTGCTCTGGCTCCGTGGTCGCAGCAACCAGGGGTCCTCGTAGTCGCTGCACGGGCTGTGGGAGGGCGAGGAAGGGGACACGCCCTTCCCCTTTCGATCTCTCAATCCCATCTGGAGGCTCTGCTGCAGGCTAGCGATCAATGTCTCGTTCAGCACCGATCCGTTAGCGCTCACATTAACCCCGCTAACTGCACTAACTCCACCCAGGGGCTTCTTCCCGCCAGGCTTGCGGCGGAGGGAGTCGGTCCTGGCCGGGGGCAGCGGCGGCTTCTTGGCCTTACGGAGAGAGATGCTGCGGGACAGTGAGCGGTCGCTGTATAGACTGTTAGAATCTTCCTCGTGGCTAGGCAGCTCGCGGCACTCGTACATGCTGTGTCTGGCAGTCCGGCCGGCTACCACCCCGTGGCCCTGCCCGCTACCATGGCTCCTGGAGCGCAGGCCAGAGTCCAGGTGCATTGAGGTGTAGTAGCCGTCGTTGTCCTGGGAGTACAGGGAGCTGGAGTCGGTGGTGGTGCGGGACGACAGCTCCAGGCTGCTGTTCAGGTGGTTGATGGGAGTGGAGCAGCTAGAGGTCAGAGGACGCCGGGGCAGGACCACGTTCTCCGGCGTGTCGTAGATTGACCACTGGTCGTCGGCCGAGGACGGAGTCGTCGCGGCGATGGTGCTTGTGTGGCTGTGCAGGCTGCCATCCGAGCAGCCCGATTCGCTGGGCGTTGCCGGGGAAATCACCCCTCCGTCTTGGGGATGTGTGTGTGTTGGTGTGGAGGTGGCCCGGGCAGGGCAGGTGGTCCTGTGGGTGAAGGAGGTGGAGCTCAGGGGGTCCATGCTGGTGCTCGCGGCCAGACTGAGAGGCCTGGAGGTGGGGTAGGCCGTCCCGGGGGACTGGGGGTGCTGGCTGGAGGACTTATGGAGGGTCACAACCTCGGCAGAGAAGGACATGGTGGCGTTGGGGATGAGGGATGTGGAGTAGGCAGCGTGGGGGGACACCACACATGCCGGACCACCACCCCAGTCCCCTGTCTGGGACCCCCGCACCTCCTGAGACTTGGGCCGTGGCAGAGTACCTGTCTTGGGGGCGTTTCTCAGATGCACCACGGTGTTGTCCACCTGCAGCTTGCCGATCTGCCTCTGGGGTGCATTGTGGTCTTCCGGCCTGATGGGGGTGCTGCTGTAGATGAGCTCAGCACTGAGAGACACCCTTGGCCCGGGTCTGGGAAGACTGTGGAAGCGCTGGGCATCTACATTCAGATGCGGGGGTAGGACCAGCATTCCGGAACAGCCGTCGCTACTGGAGACGGAGATGCTTCCTGTAGACGAGGATGTGGAAATTCCAGCCATCTGGGCTGCGATTCCTTGTCCCCGTTGAGCCCGGATTCTCCGCATGGACGGCGGAACGATCTTCACCTCCTCAGTCTGGCAACCAGAATCCCTTGTCTCGGAATGCCTGAGCGATGAGTTGACGCTCCCGACTCTTCCCAATGTGGAATACTGTCCCGGGATGAACATGGAATGTGGCCGGAGCTCGCCCCCACGTCCTTTCCCCACTGCAGAAGAGACAGAAAGATAGAGAGAGAGAGAGGTTTAACATATGAGCAATCAAAATACCTCCAGCTTCCTCCTCTCCCTCTCTCTAATTTCCTCTCCCTTGTTCCCCCTCTCTCTGGCAGGCTGTCGATCAGATTAGCTGTGTCTAAGAGGCTAATTAATTTGATTTGCTGCGGCCCTGTCTGATGGGCTAATAACCGCTGGTCGTCTTCATTAGGACAGAGATGGAGAGAGATAGAGAAAGAGAGATGGAGAGAGAGAGGAGAGAGAGGAAAAGTGGGACAGAGAGAGAAGAGGACAGACGCCAGAAGGCAGACTCCCGCTATCCTTTCCCTCCTACTCTGGCTCCGTCTGATCGGAAAGAGAATGGTCCTCAGGGTGTGGGCAGCTGGTAAGGCATTGGGCAGCTCACACACACCCACACCCACACCCGTACATAAATAAACAAAGTGAAAAATATGGTGTAAAATAGGAGAGGATATCTGATGTATCGGCAATCTGTGCTGGCTGCCTGTTGATGCTCATGCTCCCTAAACATTCACACACACACCTACCTCCCCCTCCCTAAGGCAGAGAGTGACAGCGCTGCTGTAGGAGATAGATTAAGTTGCAGGTTTCTACTTCACAGACAGCCTGGGTGTCTCACTCACTGAGGCAAGGACTTACCATCTAACAGTAATCAGGACTTCCAAGCCTGTCTGTCTGGTCTTTCAAACCTGTCTGTCTGGTCTTTCAGACCTGTCTGTCTGGTCTTTCAGACCTGTCTGTCTGTATAATAAGGCTTCAAAGCTCTGCCTATCAGCTGCACTGATCACATCCTACAGCGAGGAGAGTCCCCAGTCATCCATAGCTTAATAGGGTTAGCTTAACTTAGTGTAGCATAGCTATTAGCAGGGGTGTGGAACCCTGACCCCTCTGTTTGTTCTTCAGCCCATCTGTTCTGAGGATTAGGGGTGAAAGGTCAGGGGGCGTTAGAAGGGTGGGGCTATCATAACAACAGCTGACAATAACAAACGCACAGAAGGGGGAAAGGGAAACATTCACACCATCTTCGTCTGGCGTATCCCCTAAGCCTCTGGGGAGACAGAGGAGAGGAGAGGTGGGTTTTGGTTGGGGTTAAGACCAATTGTACAGTAAAATCCACAATAGGACATGTATTCTTGACTGTGTGTTGATTTTGATTGTGACAGAAAACCAATCTTGTCCTTTCACCCCACATCTTGATGAGTATACCCTTTCCTACTTAACCTCCCCTGTCATTCTCCCCCCTCCCTCCATTGGCCTCAATCCAACCCCCATGATAGGCCAGTGTGCATTACACAGTTGTGGAAATATGAACATAGAATGATATCATCTGTGGTAGGAATGCTGGGATTAGATGCAGGGTTTAGTGGTGGGGTGTGTGGGACACACTGTGGCATGCTTAGATTATCAGTGTATCCCAGGGATTAACACACACGAATAAGTGCCCGTTTAGATTCACTAGACTTCTTACCAGCGCCGGTCTCGTAAGTCACCAGATATTCAAAAAAATTTGTGTTCACATTAGATACACTTATCATGGCTAAGGAAGGAGGACAGCGCAGAGACCGGGCCCTTAGCGGTCATGGGAAAAGGAGTGATGTCAGACTCTGGACTACTAGATTTGAGGAAGTAGAGATCCTACAATGACAGATGCCAGTAGAGATTTTACTATCAGGGGCGGAGCAGGGGGGCTTATGAAGAGCTTCTAGATGTCAAATGTCAAGATTCTAGCATGAGAAGGCATATGTAGAAATTCTAGAATAGGGAAGAGGACTTTGAGAAAGAGCAATGGTGGTGGTTCTACAGGAGACTTTACAATGTGGGGGAGTCAAACTAGTCACTAAACCAGCCAGAGGTGTGAGGCAGGCTGGTGGATGGACTAGCTGTCTGGGTCAGGGATGAGGGAAGGACGGGAGGACTAGTGAGAGCGGGATGCAGAACAGCTCTGGGTATATACCATACCTAGTTCGGTGCAGATGTTGTCAGGCAGCCCTGATATAGTCTTTCTGCGTTTGACCTTCTTGGGCCGGCGGGAGACTGTGTCAGTGTTAATGAGGGAGCGGCGGATGCTGGCCTGCCGGTCAAACGTTGCCCCTAGTGGCCGGGAGGGCGAGAGCAGGCAGGCAGAACACCGGCAAACAAAAACCAGCCCGTTAGTGATACAAACACACGTGCAGTTCTGTTCATACATGCAGAGTGACAGAACAAGAGAGAGTAGACACAGTTACATATATCTAGAAATGCATGCTGTATAACACACATGCAGAGGACATAGACAGGGGCGTGATACACAGACAAACAGAGAAACTAAAAGAGAGAGAGTATCCCACACAGCCACACACACATACAAGACCAAACATACAGACAGTTAGTTAGTTCAGTCTCTGTGAAGCTGCTCTTTTCGATGGATGGTGAGAAAGTGATATGGAAACTGCCATATAGACAGATTGAGTCTAACACGCTCACATTTCAAACATCAGTCTTTTTGATTTCATTTGATTAGATATGACGTTGACATTTTGTTAACTTGAAACACTGATTTTAATCCAATCAATAGCACGTTACACACACCAGATTTAATAGGTCTCACAATTACATGTATTCAAATACATGTTAACACTAATTTACTATTGATACTCTTAGGAGCTGTCGGTGCTACTTTGTGGCAGCATCTAGCCTTAGACAGCTCTCTCTCTCTATGCCCTCTAGAGTGTGTGTGCTAGCAACAAACTGAGTCAGAGGACAGGACAAACACCACTGAGCCAGAGCTGACAGAGGGAGTTAGAGGGAGAGAAAATGTGTGTTTGTGTGTGTCATGGGAGGCCCAGTCTCAGACTGACTTCTGAGTGACAGATGTCACTAGCAGAGCTGATGTATTAGTGGGTGGGAGATACAGCAGCATGGTGTCTGTGTTGGTGCCTGAGATGGTGTGTGGTTATCTCTATCACCTTGTACTGGTGGTGGTGGTGGTGTGTGTATGTGTGTGTGTTTGTAGTGTGTGTGTGTAGTAGTGTCGGTCTCTGTCAGGCGCCCCATGGTTTGAGATACAGCCATGGAGCTGCCTTGACCTTTGACTGCTATCGCTTTCTCTCGAACACTGGGATAGACTGAGCACGCTCACAAACACACACTCAGCAGGGGGATGGTCAGAGAGCGAGAGAATAAGAGGGAAGAAAAACAGGGGGAGGATAACACACACTGACAGACAGAAAACACAATGCTCTATGCATGTGGATGCAATTATCAGTATGTCCATTCAAACACAGAGAAGGGTTAAAAGTGAAAAAAAGGATTGCTTCAAGACCAAGACTCCTATTTCATTGGTTGAATAGCATCGGTAGTTGTGGGCATGTTCAACCTAGGACATAAAATGGTCACTATTGTTGGTGTGGTGGCCAGGGGGCGTGGCCTACCTGTGACGTTGATAGGGATGATGTCAGTGGGCACGGCCTGAGCCTGCATCCTCATCTTCTCCTCAGGGGTGGGGAGGGGTGGGGCCTTGTAGTAGCGCACCTGTCCGTCACACTCATCTATCCCCTCCTCTTCCTGGGGGGTCTGGGGCCTCATGGGGTGCAGGGACTTGTCATCCTCCGTTGACGAGGCCGTGGACTGGAGGAGAGGAGAGAGGGATGAGAGAGTAGTGAGAGGGAGGAAAAGAAAGAAGAGACGGGTACACAGGAATGAAAAGGAGTAAAGAGGAAGGGAGATAAAAGAGAGAGAGATGGGAAGGAGAGGGAAAGAGGAGAGAGATGGGAAGGAGAGGGAAAGAGGAGAGAGATGGGAAGGAGAGGGAAAGAGGAGAGAGATGGGAAGGAGAGGGAAAGAGGAGAGAGATGGGAAGGAGAGGGAAAGAGGAGAGGGAAGAAGGGGAAGAAGAGGGAGGAGAGAAGGGAGGGGGAAAGAGGGAGCTGGGAGGAGAGATGGAAGAGAGGCAGGAGGAGAAGATGGGAAGGAGAGGGAAAGAGGGAGTGAGGAGAGGGAAAGAGGGAGAGATGGAGGAGAGGGAAGAGGAGAGAGATGGAAGAGAGGGAAGAGGCGAGAGATGGGAAGGAGGAGGAGAAAGAGGAGAGGGAAAGGGAGGGATGGGAAGGAGAGGGAAGAGAGGAATGGGAAGGAGAGGGAAAGAGGAGAGAGATGGGAAGGAGAGGGAAAGAGGAGAGTTGAGCTTCAGACTGAGCCTGAAGCAACACACCTGAGCCTGTAGGTGGAAGGAGTGTGTGTGTGTGTGTGTTGCACCTGCCCCCACTGGGTCTGCCCTCCTTTCTATAAACGCTTTAAACCTCTTCCAGCACTGTGTTCATTATTGCCAAAACAACCACACACACCACTATGTTTACTGCAGCGTTCTGACCTTTGTGCCAGAGAGTCTATAAACATGTTTCACGGTCAATCATACACACATTCACATGCACACCCAGACAAACTGATAGCAAGGAGGAGCAAGAGAATGAGAAAACAAAAGGAGAGTAACAGAGCGAGAGAGATGCTCTCATGCGTTAAACTGTGTTGACGGGCTGTGAGTTCTCAATCTGAGCGCATCACATCTACAGTGCAGAGATACGAGAAGAGCAGCGCCACCAAACTTCTCACTGCAGCACCTTGGCTTTCTCTAGAACCCTGGGCACCAACCAAACAGGCTGACAGATATTTTAGACACATACAGTTGAAGTCGGAAGTTTACATACACTTAGGTTGGAGTCATTAAAACTTGTTTTTCAACCACTCCACACATTTCTTATTAACAAATTATAGTTTTGGCAAGTCGGTTAGGACATCTACTTTGTGCATGACACAAGTAATTTTTCCAACAATTGTTTACAGACTGTTTATTTCACTTATAATTCACTGTATCACAATTCCAATGGGTCAGAAGTTTACATACACTAAGTTGACTGTGCCTTTAAACAGCTTGGAAAATTCCAGAAAATTATGTCATGGCTTTAGAAGTTTCTGATAGGCTAATTGACATCACTTGAGTCAATTGGAGGTGTACCTGTGGATGTATTTCAAGGCCTACCTTCAAACTCAGTGCCTCTTTGCTTGACATCATGTGAAAATCAAAAGAAATCAGCCAAGACCTCAGAAAAAAATTGTAGACCTCCACAAGTCTGGTTCATCCTTCAATTTCCAAACGCCTGAAGGTACCAAGTTCATCTGTACAAACAATAGTACGCAAGTATAAACACCATGGGACCACGCAGCCGTCATACCGCTCAGGAAGGAGACGCGCTCTGTCTCCTAGAGATGAACGTACTTTGGTGCGTGTAAATCAATCTCAGAACAACAGCAAAGGACCTTGTGAAGATGCTGTAAGAAACAGGTACAAAAGTATCTATATCCACAGTAAAACGAGTCCTATATCGACATAACCTGAAAGGCCGCTCAGCAAGGAAGAAGCCACTGCTCCAAAACCGCCATAAAAAAGCCAGACTATGGTTTGCAACTGCACATGGGGACAAAGATCGTACTTTTTGGAGAAATGTCCTCTGGTCTGATGAAACAAAAATTGAACTGTTTGGCCATAATGACCATCGTTATGTTTGGAGGAAAAAGGGGGTGCTTGCAAGCCGAAGAACACCATCCCAACCGTGAAGCACGGGGGTGGCAGCATCATGCTGTGGGGGTGTTTTGCTGCAGGAGGGACTGGTGCACTTCACAAAATAGATGGCATCAGTCAGGAAGTTAAAGCTTGGTTGCAAATGGGTCTTCTAAATGGACAATGACTCTAAGCATACTTCCAAAGTTGTGGAAAAATGGCTTAAGGACAACAAATTCAAGGTATTGGAGTGGCCATCACAAAGCCCTGACCTCAATCCTATAGAAAGTTTGTGGGCAGAACTGAAAAAGCGTGTGCGAGCACGGAGGCCTACCTACCTGACTCAGTTACACCAGCTCTGTGAGGAGGAATGGGCCAAAATTCACCCAACTTATTGTGGGAAGCTTGTGGAAGGCTACCCGAAACGTTTGACCCAAGTTAAACAATTTAAAGGCAATGCTACAAATACTAATTGAGTGTATGTAAACTTCTGACCCACTGGGAATGTGATGAAATAAATAAAAGCTTAGATAAATCATTCTCTCTACTATTATTCTGACAATTAAAATAAAGTGGTGATCCTAACTGACCTAGGACAGGGAATTTTTACTAGGATTAAATGTCAGGAATTGTGAAAAACTGAGTTTAAATGTATTTGGCTTCAATTGTAATTACCGTGACTAAACGGTCACATGGAATTTGACTGCAATCATGACTTGTGACCGCCAGTGTGGCGGTTATACGTTCACCGTAACAGCCCTACGCCTGGCACCTACTACCATACTCCATTCAAGGCTTAAAAAGTATTATTTAACCTGTCTCCTCCCCTTCATCTACACTGCTTGAAGTGGATTTAACAGGTGACATCAATAAGGGATCATAGCGTTCACCTGGTCAGTCAGTCATAGAATCCTCCTAATGTTCTGACATTTCACGTTCTTAAAATAAAGTGGTGATCCTAACTGACCGAGGACAGGGAATTTTTACTAGGATTAAATGTCAGGAATTGTGAAAAACTGAGTTTAAATGTATTTGGCTAAGGTGTATGTAAACTTCCGACTTCAACTGTATCTACAATTATCAAAATCATATTCCAGTATACATTTTGTAAAATACATTGGTTCCTTCTTCCATCTCAAAACAAATGATACCTACCTCTCCAACAGCATCGCAGCCTGACACACTATCACTTTTAACTTACTCGACTAGGTGCCACCCGTCCAGTAAAAACTATCCGGAAAGTTCACTCTCTGTTACGTTCCACTATCATTCCAGAATGTTAGTGGGAAATTCTTGAAGCTCCCACCACACCACCATCCCGCTATTCCCAAATGCAAACCTCATCGGAATTACAGGTAGATTCTGAGCGGGCGTGCAGTCATGTTTTCAGTCCCAACGGGTGGGGGGTGACAACACCAGCTCAACGGATGAAAACAAACATGGGATAGTCAGAGGGAGGAGAGGAGAGCCGGGTGGAGATTCCAAGGAAGCAAGCAGTGTGTTGTGTTGTGTTGTAGCCTACAGAGTTGCCCCCACCATTAGGGGCCATTATGGGTCTACACAGTAACCCAGTTTCCCCTTTGAGCTAGGGAGCTGCTGTCAACCAGAGTTAGGCTCACTAGCCTGGGGAAAACAGAACAGGGGTGAGGAAATGGGGGCAACAAGAGAGGTGGGGGAAGGGGGTTGGGGGTGGCTTGGGTCAAAGGAAAAAGCTGGGGATGGATGAGAGCGTAAGGAGGTGTGGGAGCAGTCCAGGGAAAGAGGGGGGCAGTTTGGAGAGAGGGACAATAGAGAGCAGGGTTAGGGGGCGAGAGGCACCTCATTCTACCACAGAAAGACCCCCTTCAACAACCTCGTCTGACCCCGTCAGGACCCCCACTATTGGACGAGTCACGTGGAGGGAGGGAGGGAGAAGAGACTGCAGGAGTGGGAATATGGAGAAGAGAAAAGAGGACAAGAGTTGGGAGTAAGCGAAGAAAGTAGGCATCCTGGACAAGGCTTCTCTGACTATTTGACAATTCACGTGGGGGGGGGGGGGGTAATGAGAGAGCCGACTGGCAGGCGGCAATGGTAGAGGAAAAACAGAGAGGTGGTGCACTTCTGCTTCAAACCACTGGAGGGCAGACAGATACCAGTTTGGTGTGTGCAAGTATTTATCTATGAGTGCTGTGTGTGTGTGTGTGTGTGTGTGTGTGTGTGTGTGTGTGTGCACGCGCTGTGTGTTACCTTCTTGTCTGTGTAGTCCTCATCATCCTGCAGGCTGCTGTGGGACTCTGCCCTGCCAGAGAAGGTGGGGCCCTGAGAGTAGTACTGGGAGCTACGGAAACCATCCTTCCTTAACTTGTCACACTCTGGAGGAGAGAGGGAGGGAATGGGTTACACACACCTTAATACATACACAGTTGACACACACACACAATGCCTTTCAATAAGCATACAGCCCAGTCAGCACAAGCTTCTGAGACTGACAGACCTGGTAGTGGTGTCTCTACACCCGGTAGTGGGGTGTCTCTACACATGGTAGTGGGGTGTCTCTACACCCGGTAGTGGGGGTGTCTCCCTACACCCGGTATGTGTGTCTCTACCCCCGGTAGTGGGTGTCTTTTCTAACCAAGGTAGTGGGGTTCTCTACATCTACACAAGTAGTGGTGTCTCTACACAAGGTAGGGGGTGTCTCTACACCCGGTAGTGGGGTGTCTCTACACAGGTAGTGGGGTGTCTCTACACAGGTAGTGGGGTGTCTCTAACTAGGGGGTGCTCTACAAAGGTAGTGGGGTGTCTCTACACACGGTAGGTCTTCAGTAGGGTGTCTCACACACGTAGTGGTCGTCCTACACCGGTAGTGGTGTCTCTACACACGGTAGTGTGGTGTCTCTACACACGGTAGTGGTGTCTCTACACACGGTAGTGGTGTCTCTACACACGGTAGTGGTGTCTCTACACCCGGTAGTGGTGTCTCTACACCCGGTAGTGGTGTCCCTCACCCGGTAGTGGTGTCTCTACACCTGGTAGTGGTGTCTCTACACCCGGTAGTGGTGTCCCTTCACCCGGTAGTGGTGTCCCTTCACCCGGTAGTGGTGTCTCTACACACGGTAGTGGTGTCTCTATACCCGGTAGTGGTGTCTCTATACCCGGTAGTGGTGTCCCTTCACCCGGTAGTGGTGTCTCTACACACGGTAGTGGTGTCTCTACACCCGGTAGTGGTGTCCCTTCACCCGGTAGTGGTGTCTCTACACCCGGTAGTGGTGTCTCTACACCCGGTAGTGGGGTGTCTCTACACATGGTAGTGGTGTCTCTACACCCGGTAGTGGGGTGTCTCTACACATGGTAGTGGTGTCCCTTCACCTGGTAATGGTCCCTACACACGGTAGTGGTCCCTACACACGGTAGTGGTCCCTACACCCGGTAGTGGTGTCTCTACACCCGATAGTGGTGTCCCTTCACCCGGTAATGGTCCCTACACCCGGTAGTGGTCCCTACACCCAGTAGTGGTGTCCCTACACCTTTTAGTGGTGTCCCTACACACGTTAGTGGTGTGCTTACACCCAGTAGTGGTGTCTCTACACCCGGGAGTGGTGTCTACACCCGGTAGTGGTGCTCTACACCCAGTAGTGGTGTCCCTACACCCGGTAGTGGTGCCTCTACACACGGTAGTGGTGTCCTTACACCCGGTAGTTGTGTCTCTACACCCGGTAGTGCTGTCTACACCTGTCAAGAGCTCAACACCACAGGGAACACACACAGCAGAGGAGCTGACCTGTTCAATAATACCAGTCAGGTGTTCAGAGACACACAGCATATAGACGAGTGTGTGTGTGTGTTGTGTTTTCACCCCATGCCTCAGCAGCAGCCCCTGACAGCTCAGCGCTGCTGAAAGCTTCTCTCATTAGAGCCTACTGTGAGGGGTGAGATGTGTGTGTGTGTGTGTGTGGTGTGTGCGCATGTACATGCATGTGTGTGTGGGAGCTGGGAGGAGGTATCCCTTCCAGTCTGTCACACACAGATGGTGGAATCATCCTTCTCTCTCAAACACCTCCTCCCTCTCTCCCTCAGTGGGTATTTACACTTCAGTCACTCTGCCAACACACTGCTACCAGGGACTCCTTTGTAATATCTGCATGACTAACTAGATCAGCTACTAAATAACACATCATCTACGTTGATAACATCTACTAACGATATGTAGAAATATGATGTACTAGATTCATTATACATACCTTAATAATTTCTAATTGCATGATTGAATAGTATATTTAAAATGCTATAGATAATTCTATAGCTATATACATTTCCATATCAGAGCGATCTCCGCGCTATATTCATTTCCTGCGTATACATTAACACTGAATGTTCTTTACCATAGCGACCAAATAGGCCTATTCATTTCTCTAGTCTCTGCCATCTCCATTTGATGTGTGTATAGCGACAAAGACCTCAGCTACTCCTCTAGTCTTTTGTGTTGAATACCCGCAACTAATTAGCCAAATCACTGATGTACAAATGTAAATCTGTCCATTGTCATATACATGTGAAGGAGTGGTTTGATGTGTGCGTACCCTCTACGGAGCTACACCTTAGAGACTACTTTCCTCTTTCATGTCCTAATACCTACATAGCTAATTAGAGTAGGTCTCTTCAGGGACTGAGGCGCTGTCTGCATGTATAATACTGTCATTTAATGGAGCCTAATGGAGCAGCTAGCTACTGATGGCTATTAGTGTTTGCGCCTGTGATCTGGAATAGAAGGGTTTTAGAAGCCACTTGAGATGATGAGGATGGGAATAGGTGTTACACAGTTTCCAGGACTGTTGTCGAGCAGAACAGGGGCTGGAGTTTAGCTGAAGGTAGCCTGAGTGTAAAAAGGTGAGAGATGAGCTGAAGGGGAAATATGGAGGTTTGTTGCTATGGTCACACGGCACCATCCCAGAATGATGGAGAGAGAGAGCGAGGTACTAATTAAAAACGTTCGATGAAATCGATCCAAATCTTTCATAAACACTATTTGTATTTGTGTAGCTCAATTGGTAGAGCATGGCGCTTGCAAAGCCAGGGTTGTGGGTTCAATTCCCACGGGGGGCCAGTATGGGAAAAAAAAGATGAAAAAAATATATATGTATGCACTAACTAACTGTAAGTTGCTCTGGATAAGAGCGTCTGCTAAATGACTAAAATATAAAAATGTAAATGTATTTATTATCTCCATTAGCTGTGGCCAAGGCAGCAGCTACTCTTCCTGGGGTCCAACAAAATTAAGGCAGTTATACATTTTTAAAACATTACAATACATTACAATACATTCATAACAGATTTCACAACATATTAAGTGTGTGCCCTCAGGCCTCTAATCTACTACCACATATCTATAACACAAAATCCATGTGTACATGTGTGTCTAGTGCGCATGTTATCGTGCGTTTGTATGCATTTTTTAAATCTAATTTTACTGCTGGCATGAGTTACTTGATGTGGAATAGAGTTCCATGTAGTCATGGCTCTATGTAGTACTGTGTGCCTCCCATAGTCTGTTCTTGACTTGGGGACTGTGAAGAGACCTCTGGTGGCATGTCTTGTGGGGTATGCATGGGTGTCCGAGCTGTGTGCCAGTAGTTCAAACAGACAGCTTGGTTAATTCAACATGTCAATACCTCTCACAAATACAAGTAGTGATCAAGTCAATCTCTCCTCCACTTTGAGCCAGGAGAGATTGACATGCATATTATTAATGTTAGCTCTCTGTGTACATCCAAGGGCCAGCCGTGCTGCCCTGTTCTGAGCCAATTGCAATTTTTCTAAGTCCCTCTTTGTGGCACCTGACCACACCATTGAACAGTAGTCCAGGTGCGACAAAACGAGGGCCTGTAGGACCTGCCTTGTTGATAGTGCTGTTAAGAATGCAGAGCAGCGCTTTATTATAGACAGACTTCTCTCCATCCTAGCTACTGTTGTATCAATATGTTTTGACCATTACAGTTTATAATCCAGGGTACTCCAAGCAATTTAGTCTCCTCAACTTGCTCAATTTCCACATTATTCATTACAAGATTTAGTTGAGGTTTGGGGTTTTGTAAATTATTTGTCCCAAATACAGTACTTTTAGTTTTTGAAATATTTAGGACTAACTTATTCCTTGCCACACATTCTGAAACTAACTGCAGCTCTTTGTTGCTATCATTTCAGTCGCTGTGGTAGCTGACGTGTATAGTGTTGAGTAATCTGCATACATAGACACACTGCCTTTACTCAAACCCAGTGGCATGTCGTTAGTAAAGATTGAAAAAAGTAAGGGGCCTAGACAGCTGCCCTGGGGAATTCCTGATTCTACCTGGATTTTGTTGGAGAGGCTTCCATTAAAGAACACTTTCTGTGTTCTGTTAGACAGGTAACTCATTGTCCACAATATAGCAGGGGGTGTAAAGCCATAACACATATGTTTTTCCAGCAACAGACTATGATCGATAATGTCAAAAGCTGCACTGAAGTCTAACAAAACAGCCCCCACAATCTTTTTATCATCAATTTCTCTCAGCCAATCATCAGTCATTTGTGTAAGTCCTGTGCTTGTTGAATGTCCTTCCCTATAAGCGTGCTGAAAGTCTGTTGTCAATTTGATTACTGTAAAATAGCATTTTATCCGGTCAAACAAATGTTTCCCCAAAAGTTTACTACGGGTTGGTAACAGGCTGATTGGTCGGCTATTTGAGACAGTTAAGGGGGCTTTAGGATTCTTAGGTAGGGGAATAACGTTTTGCTTCCCTCCAGGCCTGAGGGCACACACTTTCTAGTAGGCTTAAATTGAAGATATGGAAAATAGGAGTGGCAATATCTTCCGCTATTATCCTCAGTAATTTTCCATCCAAGTTGTCAGACCCCGGTGGCTTGTCATTGTTGATCGACAATAATATATTTTTCACCTCTTCCACACTTACTGTACGGAATTCAAAATTACAATGCTTGTCTTTCATAATTTGGTCAGATATACTTGTCATGCCTAAATTTGCTAATCTTGCCAATGAAAAAATCATTAAAGTAGTTGGCAATATCAGTGGGTTTTGTGATGAATGAGCCATCTGATTCAATCAATGATGGAGCGGAGTTTGCCTTTTTGCCCGAAATTTCATTTAAGGTGCTCCAAAGCTTTTTACTATCATTCTTTCATAGTGTAGTTTCTTCTTCTTTTTATTCAGTTTAGTCACATGATTTCTCAATTTTCAGTATGTTTGCCAATCGATTGTACAGCCAGACCTATTTGCCATCTCTTTTGCCTCATCCCCCTCAACCATACCATTTTTCAATTCCTCATCAATCCACGGTGATTTAACAGTTTTTACAGTCATTTTCTTAATGGGTGCATGCTTATTAGTAACTGGGATAAGCAATTTTATAAATGTGTCAAGTGCAGCGTCTGGTTGTTCATCATTACACACCACAGACCAACAAATGTTCTTCACATCAACAACATAGGAATCACTACAGAACTTCTTGTATGACCTCTTATACACAATATTAGGCCCAGCCTTTGGAACAAAAAAAGTGTTAAACAAATCAAAATATATTTTATATTTGAGATTCTTCAAATAGCCACCCTTTGCCTTGATGACCGCTTTGCACACTCTTGGCATTCTCTCAACCAGCTTCACCTGGAATGCTTTTCCAACAGTCTTGAAGGAGTTCCCACATATGCTGAGCACTTGTTGGCTGCTTTTCCTTCACTCTGCCATCCGACTCATCCCAAACCATCTCAATTGGGTTGAGGTCGGGGGATTGTGGAGGCCAGGTCATCTGATGCAGCACTCCATCACTGTCCTTTTTGGTAAAATAGCCCTTACACAGCCTGGAGGTGTGTTGGGTCATTGTCCTGTTGAAAAACAAATGATAGTCCCACTAAGCCCAAACCAGATGGGATGACGTATCGCTGAAGAATGCTGTGGTAGCCATGCTGGTTAAGTGTGCCTTGAATTCTAAATAAATCACAGACAGTGTCACCAGCAAAGCACCCCCGCACCATAACACCTACTCCTCCATGCTTTACGGTGGGAAATACACATGCGGAGATCATCCGTTCACCCACACCGCATCTCACAAAGACACAGCGGTTGGAACCAGAAATCTCTAATTTGGACTCCAGACCAAAGGACACAGTTCCACCGGTCTAATGTCTATTGCTCGTGTTTCTTGGCCCAAGCAGGTTTTAGTAGGGGTTTCTTTCCAGCAATTCGACAATGAAGGCGTGATTCACACAGTCCCCTCTGAACAGTTAATGTTGAGATGTGTCTGTGACTTGAACTCTATGAAGCATTTATTTGGGCTGCAGTTTCTGAGGCTGGTAACTCTAATGAACTTATCCTCTGCAGCAGAGGTAACTCTGGGTCTTCCATTCCTGTGGCGGTCCTCATGAGAGCCAGTTCCATCATAGCGTTGGATGGTTTTTGCGACTGCACTTGAAGATAATTTCAAATTTTCCGTATTGACTGACCTTCATGTCTTAAAGTAATGATGGAATGTTATTTCTCTTTGCTTATTTGAGCTGTTCTTGCCATAATATGGACTTGGTCTTTTACCAAATAGGGCCATCTTCTGTATACCCCCCCTACCTTGTCACAACACAATGATTGGCTCAAACGCATTAAGGAAAGAAATTACCACCAAATTAACTTTTAAGAAGGCCACACCTGTTAATTGAAATGCATTCCAGGTGACTACCTCATGAAGCTGGTTGAGAGAATGCCAAGAGTGTGCAAAGCTGTCATCAAGACAAAGGGTGGCTATTTGAAGAATCTCAAATATATTTAGATTTTTTATTATGATTCCATATGTGTTATTTCATAGTTTTGATGTTTTCACTACTATTCTACAATGTAAACATTTAAAAATAAAGAAAAACCTTTGAATGAGTATGTGTGTCCAAACTTTTGACTGGTAGTGTATGTTAACGTGGGCTATTTTTAACACTTTTCTGGGATGCTTGATTATTTTTCTTGCTTTACTGGGAAGCTTAGCAGAGGTAGACATACTCTGGTTATTTTTATTAGTGCAGGGTGAGCTGCACACACTTCCTACTAGGGCACACCACCTCAGTGCTAACAGTATTACTCTGGTTCATAGGCATATGATTACTGCATACAATTGCTGTAGGATCAGCAGGCATCTGGGCAGTAAGAGGGACATAAATTAGGTTATTTACATTGTGTCTTCCAACGCCTCTAGGATAATGTACATTTGCTGAATCATTATGACAACTCAGCAACACAATGGTAGGGATTAAATGAGCTGGACTTGGGTTATTGATAAGTCATTGTCTCAACGCAGCCTTATAATGCTGTGAAAGGATCCAGGAACCCAAATGATTTGGGTGGATCCCATCCTCCTTATAATACAAGCTTTGTTTCCAGAAGGTTTCAAAATTGTCAATAAATGTTACATCCACAGAGCTGCAATAGTCTCGTAGCCAGTTATTTACATGTACATTTTAGTCATTTAGCAGACGCTCTTATCCAGAGCCACTTACAGTTAGTGAGTGAGGGACATCAAGGAGATTCACCTCCAACATTCATAAGCTTGTTCAGTACATGAGGGCAAATTATCATGACATCCACAGAGTTTTTTATACACAGGACAGGAATTTACAGGTTTTTGTTCCAGCCCTTCACTAACACCTCATTCAACTGATTGTGGTCTAAATAGTAGATGATGAATAGTTGAACATGGTGTTTGTGCTGGCCAGGAATAAAAACTTGCACACTGTGCAGTACCTTGTGGTAGAAATCACCCACGTCTGTATTTTAGAATGAGCTTCATAAGTTACAATGAGCTGACAATCCTGCATGATAGAGAATAACATGTGGATCTACTTCTAACATAGTGATGCTGCACACTGCACAGTTATGGAGGGCTAAAAGTCTGCTGAACCGTTCAATGCCACAATTTAGGGAGGGCAGAGGGCCAGATATTATGGGGCGTTTGTTGCTGTCAAGTAGAGACTCAATCAGTTCTTTATTGACTATAATGTTTCTGCTATTACGCAATATGTCTGTGCTTTCCCTACCAGTCAGTCACCCTTTTGCGCAGACGACCACAACCGGACACCAGAATGTGCCGACGAATGGCATTATGGGTAATGACCCCGTCCTAACTGTTGAGAGACAGTAGCGAGACTCGGATGTGGTGCCACTGACACCAGCAGCTGATTACATATTGATTGGTTTGAGACCTGGGCAGGGTCTGATATTGACATTTCCCTAACTTCTCTGTGTGTGTCTGTCCTCGTGCTATGGCCGACGGGGTGACATGGATTTAATGAGGGGGGGCTTCATAAGCACAAGAGCAGGGGCACGGTGGTGGATTGACCTTATGCGCTGCTCTCATTTAAGTTTTTCTCTATAACAATTCCTATCCTTACTCTAACCAGATTGGTCAGCTATAGAACAGCACTTGGGGCAGTTTCTAGGTTCCCTCGTGTAACAGCTTTGTATAGGGTTAGTTTGAAAGTATACATTACGTACTGCATCTATTTCTAGCAGACTGCAGGCTGGCCAGTTAAATGATGTAGCATTAGAGCATCCCAGCAGCAGCTTCATGGGAAGAGAACATGGGTGAAGCAGCTAAACACACACCACGACGTAACGGACTGACCAACACAGGCAGTCTCACCAGACACCGGTTGGAAGGGCTCTTTCAGAAGGACAGTGGCAGGTGATCAAAGGATACCATTACCCATGCGGTGTGTAGCATGGCATGTCATATTACATGGACAATAACCTCACATAGAACCAGGACAATGGGACAGAAGGACAAAGACAGTGTGTGTGTGTGTGTGTGTGTGTCATTAACTTAGTGGAGGTGACTTAATAACACACACTAAGCATTAGGTTACCTCTTCTATAGTCTTCAGTCCCTCTCCTCCTTTTTCTCTCTTTATCTGCTTGGCACACAAGGTCACCTAGCACGTAAATAACAAGCCCCCGCCCCACACTGACCTACTCACAATCACACACCACCCTTAAAGACATGCTCCAGAACTTTGGCGACTACTAAGTATTTTTTAAACCTCCCGCTTTGGGCTGGATGTGTCAATGTGTAGTTCATACATGCATAATCTATGAGCAGAATTACTGTCTTACCTCAATTAGCCACGAAATCTCTAGTTTGAAAGCGACTGTTTACTGGCAGCTGTGCAGTGCCATTTTCCCTACATTTCCCCCCACATGGGCCAGCCCCCTAGCAGCCAATTGGGTTCAGCCCCTCACCATTCGAGTGACAGTTAGCAAGATGCTCACACAGCAGAGCGAGAGAGAGAGAGCAATAACACGGTGCACATATCTGCACATACGTAATCCCCTGTAGCTCAGTTGGTAGAGCATGGTGCTTGCAACGCCAGGGTTGTGGGTTCGTTTTCCACGGGGGGACAGTATGAAAATGTATGCACTCACTAACTGTAAGTCGCTCTGGATAAGAGCGTCTGCTAAATTACTAAAATGTAAATATAATATGTGACGTAGTACGCACTTTTGGCTCATGAGTCAGTGCTACTTTCAGAACTACTGGCTAAAAAGTATACAAACGTACCAGGAACCCAAATGAGAATCTCTTTAAGGCACGGACACACCAGTAACGTTTGCGAGCCGAGAGCATTTAGCACCCCTGAGTGCCGGCCATAATTTGAAAACCGAGTGGAAGCAGATACTACATGTAGAAACGGGCGAAAATGTTGGCAGTCAGACTCCCACCTGTGGATGGTCCCTTTAACACTGTGCCGTCAGCAAGCGAACGGCAGACCGCATCTCGATGCGATGTGTTTTGTCCTTTATACTGATCTACACAAACTAGCATACACCTACCCCATACACACCCACTCCAACTAAACTCCTCCCGATTCCTTTTCCCACACCTGATCGCTGTCCTGAACCTTTCTCTTTGGGAACAGACCAGGAAGTGAGTAGTTGTGGCTGTTTTGGGGGAACCTTTCATGTTCACCCCTCCAAGACACTGGACACACCAGAGGAGGGCTTAACACAGGTATGTTGTGCAGCTAGGCAAACAAACGCTTTGGACGTTTTTTTTTTTACAACGTTGTCGTAACGTCGTGAACATCAATAAAGTATCAAGAGATATTGAGGGTGATGAAATGCAATGGGTGGTCGTGACATTCCAAAAACACTGTATGTGTGTGTTTGTGTGTCTGTATGTGTGTGTATGGTCATGTTTGTAAGTGCGGTCGTGGTCCTTACCCCTCAGTGCGGTCTTGAGGTTGACCTTGGCCTGGCGGTGGAGGTCCTCTACGCAGGGCGGTCTGCTGCCGGGCAGGAACACGTTCTCCTGCTGGTGCCACGGAGCTGTGTAGTGGACCGTCCACTTACTCTCTTCATCCAGGTTAGACACCGCTAAGGAGGGAGGAGAGAGGGAAGGAAGTTAATATCACTGTTGTTACATTAGATTACATTGATTTACTGTTTAAAAAGGCTGTCGTGTTTAACAATATAGGCTAAACATGTTTTGGTACTGTTATATCTCAGGAATAATTCACTGATGCTTTGAAATAAATAATATTAAATTAGTGGGTGCTTATATTTGTTCTATTTCATTGGAAATGTGTTTTTTTTTGCATATCTTGATGGTGAATCCCAAACCACCCCGTCGCCCCTACCAACTCGCTCGGAGGGCCCTCCATCGTCACATGTTGCTGATGAAACTCTGAGGGTGACTTCCAGAGAGTGGCGAGGGGATCAATAAACCCATCAACTTCGGGACACACTCGTGCAATTAATTTATTATTTTTTATAAAACGAGCATATAAAAAAAACCTTGTTGTTTTACAATATATACTCTAAACCGTGGAGTCACGGCCAGGGTCAGCCATTATCAACGGCGACCCTGGCACAATTAGGGTTAAAGGCCTTGCTCAAGGGCACATCAATGGATTTTTCACCTTGTCAGCTCGGGATTCGAACTATCGACTTTTCGCTTACTGGCCCAATGCTCTGACCACTAGGCTACCTGCCGCTTTACCCTGCCTATAGGCCAGCTGATATTTATTTGGATGTTGTAATGCTAATAAAGCTTGTTTGAGTTGGAGTGGAAGAAGGAGGGAGTGACGTTTGTACGAAGGTGTGACCCTACACACAAACAGCTATAACACTCCACTGTGATGCATGGTAGCTTGTAGCTCAGTTGGTAGAGCATGGCGCTTGCAACACCAGGGTTGTGGGTTCAAATTTCACGGGGGAACGGTTCGAAAATGTATGCACTCACTACTGTAAGTCGCTCTGGAAAACAGTGTCTGCTAAATGACTAAAATGTAAATGTACTGTGGATGGCACCTGTCAGGGAGGGCAATGGGAAGTGGAGGGAAGGTTAGTCAGAAGTTCCAACTGAAGAACATTACAATATACACTGAGTGTACAAAACATTAGAAACACCTTCCTAATATTGAGTTGCACCCCCCAATCTTTTGCCCTCAGAACAGCCTCAATTCGTTGGGGCATGGACTCTACAAGGTGTCGAAAGCGTTCCACAGAGATACTGGCCCATGTTGACTCCAACGTTTCGCACAGTGGTGTCAAGTTGGCTGGATGTCCTTTGGGTTGTGGACCATTCTTGATACACACAGGAAACTGTTGAGTGTGAAAAACCCAGAAGTGTTGCAGATCTTGACACACTCAAACCGGTGCGCCTGGCACGTACTACCATACCCTGTTCAAAGGCACTTAAATACGTTGTCTTACCCATTCACCCTCTGAATGGCACATATACACGATCCATGTCTCAATTATATAAAGGCTTAAAATTATTTCACCTGTCTCCTCCCCTTCATCTACACTGATTAAAGTGGATTTAACAAGTGACATCAATAAGGGATCATAGCTTTCACCTGGTCAGTCTATGTCATGGAAAGTTCCTAATGTTTTGTACACTCAATGTAGTCTTCAAAACAGCATGTTCTCCACTGAGACACCAGGCTTCAACACAAAACCCCATGAAGAGCATTGTTTCAGACACTAGCCCACAGCCAATAGAGCAAGCTAAGAAGAACTTCCAAAACATTGCCTCTCAAACAACTTTTCAAATGTTCAAAGAAGGTTTCAAAACAAATCATTGTTCACCCTGTTTGGTTATTTGTTGGTCATCCAATACTGTCCAAACAACACACAATTCTCAGGTTAAACCCTGCACAACATCTCAACAAGAAGGAAATAGAGAGGGTACAAAAACACACAACAAGTAGTGCCACCATCTGCTGTTTACCTTGCCCGTTTCAAGAAAAACACACACACACACACACCAGGAGAACAGACTGGACTTACCGAGAGATTGTATCCAGACTAAAGTACTATCTGGGATTGGGAGACCATGTATCTCCATTTCTCTAAACAAGCTTCTCTAGTTCTGTGCCTGTACTGACTAACAACATGACCATCTATCTCCGGAAGAAGTCAGAGAACTAAGAACAGAAAGAGGAGAAAGTTGGGGAGGATCCTGAGAAAGGGGCAGGCTAAGGAAGGAGGTGTGTGGGTGGGGATGCGGGGTGTATGCAGGAGTCTTCCCACAGGTGCAAATGGGCCATCTGCAGTAGTGTGTGTTTTTTTGGGTTGAGGGGGGAGAAGGGAAGAGTCCTTTTGACTTTACCCTTATTTATTCCCACAGGTGCTAATGGGCCATCAGAGGAAACGTGTGTCATGTCCTTACATTTACATTTTTTTTACATTTACGTCATTTAGCAGACGCTCTTATCCAGAGCGACTTACAAATTGGTGCATTCACCTTATAGCCAGTGGGATAACCAATTTACAATGTTTTTTTTTTTCTTTTTCTTTTTCTCATGGGCAGCGCACAATTGGCCTAGCGTTGTCCAGGGTAGGGGAGGGAATGGCCGTCAGGGATGTAGCTCAGTTGATAGAGCATGGCGTTTGCAACGCCAGGGTTGTGGGTTCAATTCCCATGGGGGACCAGTATGGAAGAAAAAAAAAAAATATATATATATATATATATATGTATTCACTAACTGTAAGTCGCTCTGGATAAGAGCGTCTGCTAAATGACTAAAATGTAAAATGGGTGGGGTAAGGGGGGGTAGAAGGATTACTTTATCCTATCCCAGGTATTCCTTAAAGAGGTGGGGTTTCAAGTGTCTCCGGAAGGTGGTGAGTGACTCCGCTGTCCTGGTGTCGTGAGGGAGCTTGTTCCCCCATTGGGGTGCCAGAGCAGCGAACAGTTTTGACTGGGCTGAGCGGGAACTGTGCTTCCGCAGAGGTAGGGGGCCCAGCAGGCCAGAGGTGGATGAACGCAATGCCCTCGTTTGGGTGTAGGGACTGATGAGAGCCTGAAGGTACGGAGGTACCGTTCCCCTCACAGCTCCGTAGGCAAGCACCATGGTCTTGTAGCAGATGCAAGCTTCAACTGGAAGCCAGTGGAGTGGGCGGAGGAGCGGGGTGACGTGAGAGAACTTGTGAAGGTTGAACACTGTAAATGTAACACCAGACGGGCTGCGGCCCTACACGTGGTCCTCTGTAGCTCAGCTGGTAGAGCACGGCGCTTGTAACGCCAAGGTAGTGGGTTCGATCCCCGGGACCACCCATACACAAAAAATGTATGCACGCATGACTGTAAGTCGCTTTGGATAAAAGCGTCTGCTAAATGGCATATTATATTTTTATTATTATAACTGCCACCCTGTCCCCAACACAGCCTTTTGAGTGGCCAGTGAGCTCAAAAGGCCAAGGAGAAAGTCTAGGAAACATTTGGAAACTAGCATTTGGAATCCCCTGGGGTGGTTGCTGTTCAAATGTTCTATGTTCAAAGGTTGACATCCTCCATTAGAAGACCCCGGGGCCTGTCCAAATATCAACAGTTGAACTGCCATTTGAACAGTGCAAAAGGCCTGAGGGAAAGGCAAATGAGAGGAGGGACTTGGGAGTGTGTGTTTGTGTTTGTGTAAGGAGGGGGTTATATGTTTCCACAGGTGTGAAGGCGCCATCCATTGCACCAGTCACTAGGGCCACAGGTGGCAGGGCCGACCGTTAGAGTGTGACGTGACGTCTGTTTATCGTCTGTTTGGAGTTCCTCTCTTCAGCAGTTATGGTTGACACCTCTTGGATGGCCGGTTAACTACCTCTTTGGCAGGGAGAGGGGAGCCTTTGTATTCATTCATGACCTCGCTCTTTTGCTTACCAACGGTTCTTTACAAACAGCTAGGCCTTTCCAACCTCTCTCTCTCCGTTCTCCTCTTCAAACACACACACACACACACAGCTAAACCTTCTCATGTAGGAAAAGGAAACCCTGGGAATACTGAGACACACACACACACACATCCACCATGCAATGTGGTTGAGGAGTGGTAGAATCATTGGAGGGTGAATGACACCTGTTGCTGCCACGTCAGCCACATTGGCAGTGTGTGTGAGCTCTGTGTGTGACGGACCAATAGTGTGCATGTGTGTGTAAGTTACCTTGCATATCACCATCACACTTGAACTGTCATGTCAGTGTAGGTGACTATCGTAAAAATGATCAATCTGACAGTACATCACAAGACAGAACACCACACCACTGACCAATGGACAACGCTGGACAGGAGGACAGAGGTAGAGGGAACGGGACACGCAAACGTGCACATACACGCTCACACACTCCAAATATACACTCACATAAAGTGAAGGAGTTGACAAAGGACACCCAAACATGCATACCCACTCACATAAGGGGTACTGTTGCACCAGACTAACACAGTACATAGGCCTACACAAAACTCAAAATACACAAATGAAGTTACACACTTGTATCCACTAGTCCCAAACAACCTAGTCAAAACACATGATTGTCTAGCCTAATACTTGTCTCATACACAAACAGAGCTCGGAGTATCCTCCAGGCCAGCCCACTCCATGCAGGTAGCTAGCTCTCCCCCCACCCTGGGGCCTGGGCTCAGACTGACTGTTGTGGTGAATAGAGCCAGTCAAAGCCACTGGGACTATGGACATAAAGCCTGTATTGTCCCCCAGAATCAGCCTCCACATCAGGCCTTTCACTAGTACAATACCCCGAGCACCAAGCAACCCCCCCACCCTATCACAATGTCCACATCAGGCTCTTTTCAGTTGTCACCTAATCCCCCCCCCCCCCCTACTACCAGCATACAATTACCTCAGAGAGGAGAGAAACAGTCAAAAGTTGCAGAAACACACACAGAAACATGGTCCTCTTAAAATCTCTATAAAAAAAAAAATGCATATTGACAACTTCTAATCCTGTATATAGCGCTATAACCTATCAATACATACTGAGAAACAATCACATGTGATGTGCAGGACCAGTGGAACAGAGGAGTCATGCAGTAGGGGCCAGAGGCTGATATCAGCATGGATTATCTATCACTGATTACT